GAATAAAGAAAAAGAAATCCTGGATTCCAAGGCTTCACAAGAAGCAAAAGAGAACCAGCAGTTAAACTCAGTGATGGTACTTGCATGATTCTGGGAAAAAGAGGGATATTCTTAGGGAAGGACACACAGTATATGGCACAGTTACTTAACTGTAGGAAAAAAACTATAAAGAAGGGAAACAGAAAATCTATTTTCATATCTAACCTCAAAGAAATCATTACAGGAATTGAAATTCAATTACATGCCTGGGACCATAACGAGCAACACTGTGCTCATCATCGCTGACTCTTCTCATTCCACCTGCAGCTTAAGGGATACAGGGTAAGAACCAACCTAATTTGCATCCAATAATGATGTCTTTAGATTAATTTGTATAGATAATGGAAGATTTAAAACTTGCTTGTGCAAACAGTGGTATGCACATAACCAATCTTCACAATGCCTTCTAGAAGCAGTAGTTTCTATAGCCTGAAATGATACTGAGATTGACATGATCTTGGCTCCCTAATTACATCAGAGTGGGATTTTCTACTCCTAATGCTTAAGTGCATGTCAATACCAAGACAGATTGCAATATGCATATTACTATGCCAAGAAATCACTTTAAAATTATTCAATGTAATCTGTTAATAATTGAGTAACTTCTGGTAAAGAATTATTAAAACAACATGAATCCATCACTTTGAAAAAAGAATTAATAAAAACCAAAAAGGTATATAAAATTAATTTACATACCAAAAAGGTACATAAAGATCTAAGCAACCTCACCCTGAGAAATAGCTGAACTTCTGTATTCCAAGAAAACTATCTTAAAATGCTTGTATTTTAAAGACTACTGGATTGCTTTCTAAATCACATTCCTTTCATCCACAATGCTTATTCTGTTTTCCTTTTAAAACCAGGGGGGTTTATCTGCTCCAATATGGGGTTCTCTTTTACTAGCAAAAATAATATTTTATATACACTTTAAAACTGATGGGCATCAGCGTTCCAGACAGGTTTCACTAACTGGAGATATATTTGCTACCAGGGTAGGATAAAAACAGGAGGAGGAGAGTGCAGAAATAAGAGAGTTGCTATGCCAACCTACAAATGCTAATGGCATGACAAATACAAAAAGGTCACATTAAAAAAAAATAGAAAGAAATGCTCTGATCAAGAAGTATTTGTACTTAATTTAATAAACAATGTAGCTCCTCTATTCAAGTTCCTTCAAAACAATACAGTTTAAAAATAAGAAAAAACAGCACAGTACCACATTGGAAATCAGGCTTTGTCCTGCCCTTGATTTATCACTAAAATGCATTATTCTTTATCATCCATATTAAAAATATGACAATCTAGGAAAAAGTTACATATAAATGCTGAATGGATTTGCCTGTAAGTAGACCACTGTATTTATTCTGTATTTCAATACAGAGTATAAAATAAAATTTAAAAATTAGTAAAAAGTGCATCATGCAAAAAGATCATTCAAAAAGGTATTTTTGTCATTTTGAGGTAGAATTCTGTAATAAACTCAAAACCTGCCTTCTACTTTAAATGGTAAAATACTAAATGCAATTTTTAAGAAATCTTTTAGGAGGACTTTCAGTCGATTTTCAAATATTTGGGTGTGCTTGATTAAAAACTTAAAAAAAAAATCCCATCTGTTCTGAATGTTCTCTTCATCTAAGGTGTATTATGGAAGATATTAGTAATGACTCCTGTACTCTCAAATATAAGAGATGCATGCAGTGGAGTATTTTACATCAAATCCTTGCAACAGAGACTGTTTGTAACAGAATTGAAGCCCATCAAAAATACAGAATGGGTTTTCTTTTCACTTGAAATATGGTTTCAATTTGGTTGAAACACCAACCATTTAAAATTACTGCTTTCTTTGTCTTTCTAGTACTCCAAAGAGAGCACTAACAAATGCCAATGACTTTTCCTGGGTCAAACTCATGTCTTCACCAGGGCAAAGGAACAGTACCGGCATGTAGACAGACAACCTGTGGACATCAGAGCATCTTCAGAAAGCCCATGGGAGAAAAGAGGACACCTGGGCCACAGCATTCACTAAAAATTTCAAATACATTCAGTGCTCTGACCATTTTATCATCAACTTTTGTAGTGGGCAATAGAAAACACAGAAATTTTACAACACAACCCAAGTGTTCTAGCATAGAATTGCAGATCCAAGATAAAGTTTTACATAAGCTTTGGCTGAGCATTCAAAAAGAAATGAGTTGCTCAACCTTTTGAAGATCACCCATGGCTAATTAAAGACCTGCCAAGGCTTTACTAACAATTAAAAACTTGTCTTTAAAATCCCCAAAGAGGAAAATGCAAACAGCTGTTTTAATTAGCAAAACAGCAGATACTAATTAGCTTCTGTAACAGAGTATGCTGGTCCTTTAAGGACAGGACCAGTTTCAGCCCGAGTTTGTTACCCATTTAAGCTATAAGTAGAAGGACTGGAATCAAATGCTGCAGGAAAAGCTAATTCCTTGTGAAATCAGTATTTCCCAGCTTCAAGTACACAAAAGAGAGATTTTTATTTTGAGTAACTTTCATGCTTTACCATCTTTTAGTTTATCTTTCCAGAACTCAGCTGAGTTGAGCTGAGAGTACTTGAAATGCCTCGTGATGACCCCATGGGGATAAAAATTGTGATATCTCACCTTCTGGGCAAAAGGCCACTGTGTGTGGACAGAGTAACACTAATATGTGCACATTTGCACAGCAAGCCCATGGAGCTCAGGTTGCATCAAGTCTGCTGTGAAAGCTGATTTGGGCACCTGATGCAGAGTTGTTGCAACTGACCACATCTTTCAATTCTCCCGATCTTTTGGGACTGGCTCTGAATAACTATGAAATCTCAGATGAAAGAGAAAGGAATGGAGAGATCAGGAGAGGCTGGAATTAGCCTTTTGCTGTGTTCACAGCACAGATCCTTGGACAGCAGCACATAAGCTCTTACAAGGTAATCATCATGCACTGATTGTCCGTACACTGCCATTTCTAAAAATCAGTTTCAAAGCTAAAAAAATGTAAGTTCCATCCCATAAGAGCTATATGTCTACAGCTGGGCATTTTGCTCTTTTGCTACATGCATCATTGATAATAAACAGGAACGTGCTGCAAGTAGAAGATACAATATAAGTGCCAAATGTGAGATTTAAAACAAGAGTTTAAAAGGCAATCTATTTGTACTATCTACACAGAGTGAAAGAATAACTGAAAATATAGGTATGAAATAATAAACTCAAATAACTACAAAAATACTATCTCAAGCTTCATATCAGTGATATCAAATAATTCTGATACATGTGTTTGAACACCAAGCAGAGGTGAAATCTTTCTTCCAAACATCTGGAAGACACTTATCTTTCAGGAGTTGTGTTTGAAAAATCTAAAACTGTTGTGCTGGTATTCCAACACTGTATACCAAGACAGGTCAATAGGTTTAACTGGAGGATGACAAAGGCTACTCTTTTATCATTCTGTGCGTTCTGCACATTTTACATTCATTGTTCAGTCACCAAGAGCAGGCAGCAATAAAACACTACCCTTCAAAAACCAGTCTGGGATTCTGATTATTGCATGGCATTCTAAACAAAACCAGCAACATTTATTGATTAACACAAGGATTATTATGAGAAAACATTTTGAAAAAATATAGACATAACTATGACTGTTCCCCTGCAAGCAGGACTGTCAAACTCATATAACCTCAACTGCATGCATGGTCTTGATGCCTGTTGCTTTCTCTTCAAATTAATATTCCTTTGTCTACTGATTAAATTATTAGAGAGGAATAATAATACTTTCAGCATAATGAGAGTGTGTCACAGCAGAACTATGGCTTCTCTAACTTGTTCTGTGTATTAAGGTACATAATGTACATTCAGATTCAGGCTTTGCTAACTATTTTTCTAGTGATAATATACACAAAGCTCAAATGTTTTCTCTGTTGCTGTGTTCTGTTTTTCCCAGCTTAAAATGCAAATGAGACATTTGGTAGAGACACTCCTGTTTTTCCAGTGAACAGAAGATGTGGCACTGTTCAAGCACTGTTGCTTTAGGGCCCCACCCAGCTCATGCAGAGGGTTCAAATGGGTTCAATGAAATAAAGACATTTCTGGAGAGGGATTTTCATTGAAAATGCTTTTTAATTAAATTTCATTTACTGATGTGACCAAGCTTAACTGGCCTCAGGACAGACTAGGATCTTGTCCTTTACTAGAACAACATTTTTATTCTCATATCAAAGAAACAGGTCTATGAGGGTTTACTTCTCAATGAAACAATATTGATAAAAGCAATTCACTTTTTTATTCCCCAAGTAGATTATTACCTGTTTAAACTTCACAATAAAGTAAAGCTGTTTAAATGGAGCTAGGTTAAAAATCTTTGTATTAAGAACAAATTTATTATGAGCTACTGAGATCCATCTAACAATTCCAAATCCACTTCAGCTCCTGTAAATTAAACTTGGAGCTAAATGCCATGGAGGTAAAAATAAAGGAGGTACATCAATTTACAACCTTTTAGAAAGGTGAACCTTTCAATTTGGGGGAAAAAAAACCAAAACAAAACAAGATAAATATGATATACAAACATTACCTGAATATCCTGTTGCCATTTAAAGATTATAAATCATAAGTACAAGGTTACAGGAAGAGACCATGAATTAAGTCTCATTAAATAAGAATGAATAGAGACCTAAAACCGAGGTCCCTTTAAGTCCTATTTTTAATTCTAGGATTTCCAGGTTAATTATACTGAAGCTTTTCCAAACCTCAAGTCTGGAAATAATTTTTTTACTTATCTTAAGTAAATGTGTCCTGCTTGTACACATCCCCCCAGTAATTACTACTTCCATAAGACACCATAGTGACTGAGTAGCTTCTACATGCTGCAACTACTGCAAACTCTTCCTGCTGTGTTCCTTGCAGAGAAAACAACCTGTGGATAAAACACCCTAACAGTTTAAGAGAAGAAATCTTACTTACGAGTACTTTGTCAGCAGCTCCAGATTATTATGCATGTTGATTGGATATGTCTCACTGAGATGAAACAGCTTCTCTAAGGCCTCATAAATGAAAATGATGCAGATAAGAGAAGCAAAGGCTTCTTCAGTAAACCGGGTAATGTAGCAGACTAGGGAGCTGGCATCAGTTGCAACAAGGATGATGCACAGGATTGCAGTCCACAGCCCAATGCTGGCTCTCAGAGAAAGGTATGACAACCCATACTCCCTAAAAAGGAGAGAAAAAAACACCAACTCACTCAACCTTTTGTCCAGCCACAGTAAATGGAGACAAGGCAGCTCCAAAATTTCCTTTTTGGGGACAGTCTGAATCAGAAGTCCTGACCAGAGTTCTTCCCCCAATTAACAGGACGCAAAGAGTTCTATCTCTATTAAAGTAATCACATGAGCAGCTTTGAGAGTAGTCACACACAAAGTGTATAAGGTCCACTCACTTTTTATCCCATATCCTGCTTTGTGAACAGCCAACACCTGTCAATTTCTTTTTAAGCTGTGAAAGAGTAGCTATAACAACTTTCATCAAAATTCTGTAAGCCTACTGCATATGATAATAGAGCTCCAAACACACCGTGTGACATTATCACAGCAAACTGAAAGGTCTGTCTTGAAGGTGCGAGAAATTCTGAGTGCTAAGCGGGGTTTCCTACTCTGTGTTGTGCAGGAGATCCTGCCACACAAGTCCCTGTCACAGCAGTGAGGCAGAAAAGCAGACTGGATAGCAGAGAAGCATGATGGCTTCCAAATGGAGACATCATTTTTACCCACACTGTGGCAGAGACGTGACAAGCACAGCACACGAGCCTAAATGTGGCTCTGACACCTCACCCCCTCTCTGTCCAGGTGAGGGAATGGCATTGTCTGTGTTAGTGACTATTGAAAGAGGGACCACTTCTACTGCCTGCACTTTCTTGGTGAGAGACAACACCTTTCAAGTTAGGGATGAGATAAACCACAGATTTAAATATATTACCTCAGAGCAGAGAATGAGAATATTCAAAAGAAAACCCAAAAAAATCCCCACAAACATCCTGAAGCAGTCATTCCCTTCAAAACAGGGGTGGGAGGGAGGAAGGAAGGGAAGGAAGGGAAGGAAGGGAAGGAAGGGAAGGAAGGGAAGGAAGGGAAGGCTTTAAAAGGAACAAAACCCCTAAATTTAAGAAAATTCACCTTTCTGCTTTACCAATTCACTGCATAATTTTTGGACTCTGCAACATGATAAAGGCAACAATTTATCTTGTAGTGCATTGCTTAGAATTTCAACTTTGGGATAGGTGTCTCTACTTTTACCTAAAAACAAATGAAGGATGAGGAGTATCATGATCTTCACTTACTTGCAAAATTTGAATAAGATCTTCTCAAACACTAAAACTGGTCCTGTGCTGCCAAGAATAGTGAGAGGCTGTCCACCAAAAAGAGAGTAGGCAATTCCAGTCATGGATGCTCCAAACAGTGATTCTATTGCACTCTGAATACAACAGAGAGAGAAGTGTCCATAAATTTTCAAACAGGTTCTTTTTGCAATGTCTTAGTCCATAGCCTTCTAAACATTGAAACACCAATATATAAAGGTGATTCATGCAACAGTAAGGAAATACAAACCACGAAACTAGGACTATAAGTTTGTTTTAAAAGTTCAGATTTAACACATACTATACGACCTTCAGTTGCTTCTCCCAGCAGACCACCAAATGTGATGACAGGAGACATGCAAGCACAGTAGAGAAACAAAAATGATGCCAGACACTGCAGACTGAGAGCATCCCTGAAGTCACTCCAGAAGAAGGGAGCTTTTCTTTTGATATCTAAAATTAATCCTCCAAAAAATCTAAAGAAAACACAGAAGAGTTCAAATCAATTAAGGTGGCACACAAAACTTTCTTTTACAATATTGCTTCAATCACACTGCAGAGATGCTACTGTTCCTTGATCAAATGATTCATACTCTTAGGCTTCACCCTTCAAAAAAAATAAGTTTATAGGAAGTCTGTCTTTTTAACTTCAACCAGGAAATTATTGTGGTTTTAAAACACTTTTATAAATTCTTCAACTAATCATCCAGACACCAAAGTTCTGAACAGCTGCTTGCTCCCATGCACTAAATCAAACTGTTTATTACGTGAAATAACTCTTTACATTAATTAGAGAGGTATCACAGTGCCTATTTGCCTACATCAGCTTCACATTCTTTATATGAGAACCTGTTCCTAAATACACTTGATGACAGAAATGAATATATGCTACCATTTTTAAAGGACAAGAGCTGTCATCTTTTGTCATTTACACTGTGTCAAGTATAATCAAATATTTAGGAACAGACGGTCCCTTACAAAATACCATACAGCTAAAGTAAATAACCCCACAATGCTCTTTTCCTCACAGGCACACAATGTATCAGATGCTGCAGAGGTAAAGGAGAAGGTGTGGTGCTACTACCTCCTAAATATTAAAACAATCCTTCAAGCTGTCAATTAGCAGATTCTCTGGTGAGAGAACAACTTCCAGCCAGACTGGCCATCACCTGCCCTGCCCCAGTGTACACCAGCACTGCAGCTGAATCTTTACCTTATGCTAAAGGTAGGGAGAGTATTTAAATATCAGGAGGCAGCAAAGTAAAAGAAACACCTATTGCCCAGCTACACTGCACTAAGGCAGCCACTGACAGCTGATGCCCTTACACCACACCACATTAGATGAGAGAAAACAAGTATTCCTTGGGGCATATTCTTCATTCTGTATCCTGCAGCCACCAAGATAACCACAGCCTCATGTACCAGGACATATCATGGCTTACTGAGGTAAAAAAGAAATGCTAGAGCTGCACAACCCAGAAACTTCAACTACAAAAGAGCTGCAACTATTCAGAATATACGGCACAACACTATACCAAGCTTCCCTTCATCATGTTCCAAACCAAGAAACATTAATCAAGTTTAAGAAAGGTCTGGCCTTTGTAAATATTAGAGAAAGGAGGTTGCAATAAATACAATGAGAAAACTCAAACCCTCTTGCCCTCTCCTGCTTTCTGCAAATGAGCATGTATTGTCCTCTTCAGCTATGTGGCACTTGCAAATCAGGACAAATGCCTGAAAGAAATTATGCACCAAGACACTTCTGAGAGAACCAGACCCTTGTGATTCCCTCTGAACATCACTTTGAACACTTAAGATTTGGAATATGTTTCACTAACTTTCCAGTGCGCTGCAGTTCTGGTCCAGAGTGTCCCCCAGGATGTTCTGCTTCCCCATGGGCTGCAGTTCCATTTGGCACTCCTGGGATCTTACGCTTCTCCTACCAGAAGGAAAAGATATTTCTTGTGGGTTTTAGTACTGAAACAGGCTCTGAAAGTTAAAAGCTTAAACATAAAAATTTCATTTTAAGATTCGTCAGCATAACCTTCTCATAAGCTGTAAAGGAGTTATATTACCAGACAGCTAATAGTGAAAAGAATTGTGATTCTATGAAATTTAAAGAACTCATCAGAAAAAAATCTTGTATCAGAAAACATTTTAAAGAGTAACAAGCCTTGATCAATTCTTGCAATAAGCTTAGAACAAAAGCAAACAATGGCTATTTGGAATAATCAAGGATGCTTAAGACCACTTATCCCTGAATTTCCTATATTTAGATACAACTGCCTGTATTTACTCAGGAGAGAACTAGTACTGAACTAAACCAAATGTCAGCACTATACTGTGTGCTTGCAAGTCAAGGGTTCTTCTAAAGAAAATCAACCTAAAATAAAAACAGCATGCAAAACATAGTGACTTTGTTAAATGCTAAATTAATGAGACTTAAATTACATAATAAAAATTCACCACAACTTTTAAAAGTATCTGAATTTTACACTGTACAGACCTGAGAGGGAACATTTTTAGGTGGTTCTATTCGAATTGTTGGGTCCCACTCTCCAGGAGGGAGAACAGTAACCTGATCAAGAAACTCATCAATTCCAGACACCAAGTCATTGCGGTCCTTTGCTTTGTAAGCAACATCATGGAATACCTGTGAAAAATTGAGACGTGTGTGGGAGGAAAAAGAGATTGAAAAGGAATTCTCTCTAAAATAATGGCCCCACTTCTCTGAAACAGAACACACTTTGTAAAGTTCCCACTGAACAATCTCAGCTTCATTTGAAAATAGCTTCTGGTACTTAGCCCTCATAGATATTCCAGCTGCTACAGAAAAACATCCTTATGGCTGCTAAATATTTGAGAGATTTTGCAGTTTAAACAAAATTAAATCCACTAGAAAGCAACTGTGTGAAATGGAATCTTATTGGTGAAGACATCTTCGCTTATGAATATTGTTTCTCATTTTGTTATCCCCTTACAGCAGTATAATCTGAGCTGTCACAGGATCATGAAATGAGTTAGAATGCTCGTTGTCATCACCAGAATGATTAGCCACATTTCATCTGAAGGATTGGAGATTCCCTATTACACCTCTTCAGTTAGTACAAAACTGAACCATGAATAAAAATACCTCATCTGTCATTAGTGTTGCAATTGATCTTCCAATCTCATGGTATTGTTGGCCTTTACCCAGTGGTCCAAGAAGAATGAACAAAAATCTGCAAATTAAAAGTAAATTTGAGAAATTGTAAAGCATAGATGGTTGAAATGAATATAAATATTACAGAAATATCTAAAATGTGGACTAGAAGAATCTCTCAGATAAACACTATATATAATCTCCTTCAAGATCCTCACACATGCATTTAAACATGAAGCTTTGCTTAGAAAAAGAATATGAAAATAGCTTCCAAAAATATGTCATAAGCTTAACAGGCAGTCTTGATTGAGGCTACCAAAACCTCCTTACATAATAAACCTTAACTTACATAATAAATGTATGCAATTCCAATCTATGTACAGCACACATTATTTTACTTAATTCTGTTAATTCAACAGAATAGTTATGGTTACATAAATTTTTGCAATATTGGAGATGTTAAATTAACCCAAATAAAATAATTTTTAAATAATTTTTACTCCCATTAAGGCTCTGGACAGTCTCTACTTGAGGCTGTAAGCAAGTAAAGTTCTATAAAAGGCAGAGGATTTGTTCAAACAAAATAACTAAAACTCTCAGTTTTGCTAAAATGCAAAAGACAGTACTCTGATGTATATTACTTATTTTTTTATTATTGCACACAAATTTTTGCAGAAACATTTTATTGTCCTAATTAGTAACTATTTTTATTTTGACCAAAAATCAAGAAATCTGTTATTCTCCTCTTCGTAGTTTTTTTTCTTGTCGGAATTTGAGAGAGATTACAAGGAAAAGCTTTTTCTAAAGCCAATTCCCTCAGTGTTTCTTACACACATGCAAAAACTAGAAAACATCAAAAAGTAACATCCAAAGTAACTACAAAGTACAGCTCAAAGAAAATGTTTATCTGGTTAGAAGCAAGGATCTGAGTCTCAGCATTGCATTTCATAGCATAACACGAGTGTGATATGTGAGTGCCCTGAGCATCACAAACTGGAATACATTACCGGCTACTGTTGGAATTCTACTGTCATAGAAACTAAAAGAGGGAAGGGGAAAGAAAGACAGAATGTGTGTAGAAACATATGCACAAATTAATAAAAAAAATAAGGGGGGGAGATGGGGGGTGGATTCCGCAATAATAGTTAAGTTAGTGAACACAGATATGGGAGAATCACTCCAGAGTTTTGATCTGAATTAACATCAGCAGGACACAATGTAACCACAGATCTATCCCAATTTTCTTCTGTTTGAATACAAGGTCTATTTTAGACTTTTTTTTTTTAATTCTTCTATTTGTTTTCAGAATCAAAGTACTCCATCAGAAAAAGTTTCAACTTGGAAAAAATAAATTAAAAAACAATTTATGGTTAAAAGTCTCATTTTGTACCAAGCAAAGTAAATTTTTGAAGAAGTAAAAATTTTTTAAGAATATATTTACAGCATGTTCTCCATCCATTCACTCACTTTCCCTAGTCAACCAAATCAAAGTTTGCTTTTTGCCTTTTCTCAATTCCATCTTCATTTTGTTTTAGTTCTGTACATAATTATGCAGTATCACACAAGTAGTTTCAGTTCCAGACGAAATATTCTATGAAATTGAATATTTCACCTTAGTAAGATACTTCATCTGGAGTAATACCAGTTTGTCTAGGATAAACTGTGTGTTATAACCTACATTTCTACATCTGAAGTACTCAAAACTCGTATGTGTCTGAATGTACCCACACATCATTTACAGGGTGAGCGGAAGGCTGAGAGATGTCTTTGTCAAAGAGCAAACCAAATTCCTCTCTCAGTAAATGGCAAACCCAAGAGTCACATCACCCTCTCCCCAGAGGGTCCTCAGGGCAACACGAAGCAGGATCAGCCCAGCTGTACCTGGTTGGGATGGGAACTTCAGCCAGGCCTGTGAGCAGCACTGCAGGGGACAACCTGACAAAAGCCACCACGGCGCGGTCCAGGAACTCAAGCTCACCAACCAAGATGTTTGATGCTTCAGCTCCAGGTGGTATCTTTTTCATGAAGTGTAGGTCAACCTGGGGAAAGTATATTAAATTACAACCTAAAAGTTACTCACAGGGGTTTTTCTTTTCCCTGCTTTGTTGACAGAGACTTTCTGATCACTGCACTATAACCTTGGCTATTTCAGTTATGCAGTTTCACTGTTCTCATCTGTTGAGTATTTTTCTTTTCATAAAAATGTTTCTCTAAACCAAACTAGACATTAATTATTTGACTGATTTTTCTTGGAAACAAAGCATTGCAGAATTAATTTATAAAGATAACAAATAAAATTCAAAATATTTTTCAGAATATAGGATAAATCCCCTAGTAATGCTTTTTATCCATACTCATAACAGCATGAATACTTAATAACAATCATAACAGTAGAAGAAATTAAAACACCTTATTTTTCCATAATTATCAATTCTGGAAATCATTAATTCATAGCTCATAGTTGTCGTGTTATTATCTCACTGAGAAGAACAATAGATTCCACTAAACACAATTTTCCTTTTTCTACTCTGAGATCCTTTTTTGTTTTCAGATTTAACAGAAGACAGTTGCCCCTCTGCTGAAGTAACAAAATAAGCTATCATGAGCTTTGACAGCCTCAAGAGCAAGAAGAAAGCAGAAGAAAAACTTTGGAATTTTAGGCAGCAATGTTGATTTTTGCAGGATGATAGAAAAACAGAGACACAGCTTCATCATGATATTGCTATAATAAGCTCAAGGTATTTGTGAAGGATTGTATGACTCTAGACTTTTCTCTGTAACAAAGACTGACATGGAGTAATAAAGATATATAATGTATGTCTGATTTAATTATGCACCAGCATTGTCTACATTTCAAAATGCATGAATTTTGTCATTTGCTTTCCTTTTATTAATCTAAACACAACAACAGCAACCAAATCCAATATAAACTGTTAAAGTGGACCATTTTAATGTCTATCTTACAGCCATCTGTCAGTACTAGTTTGCATAGTTTTTGGTAATATTTAGAAAATTGTTTTCTTGCAAATGGCTCTGGCACTAAATCAGAATTCAGATATAACACAGTTGCCTGTGTAATGAAATCTTGGTTTGCTGAGATCACAAAGAGATATCTAATGCTTCCCTAAGCTACAAAGATGAATAAACACCTCACAAAGTTAAACAAGAACCAGATCAACCTGGAAGGTTGGAAACCAAGTACTTTTCAAGGTAAATTGAAAAACTGAGGTAAATTCTGTTCTCCACTCAAATAATGAAATAACTCTTCTTGATTAAATTCATAACTAAGGTTCACTCTGCACCTAATGTTGGTGTCACAGGTTATTTGTAATTGAGAGGAGGAAAGCAGTCTTTCAGGCATGTAGAAATTTGCATTCTTTGCTGAGTTTACCTTGTGAATGGATGGATTAAACATCTAAATGCTTTTAGCATTTAATAATTAATGTCCCATATACAATATGCTACAGTTGTGACATTGAGGTCCTCTAACATGCAGATCACAAGCTTCAAATTTGAAAGAAACATTCTGCCTCCTGTCTACAAGTAAGTATTTCCAGATACTTCCCGCACTATTTCTCAGCTTGAGATTCTAATACTGTCTAACATTGTTTAGGTAGTGAAGAGAACCCCATTAAAAGGAAAGTAGCCAGCAGAGGAGCAAAATGAGCAAACACACCCAAACCCCAAAGGCACTGCTTTCACTGCATAATGAGAGTGGAGGTGGTCCTGGAGTGAATTCACGGCAGTGGCAGAAGCTACATATGTAGAATGCTTCATCTAACCTATGCATAATGCATCTCTTATCCCGGGTATTTAGCTGGAGAGACCTGATGTGCACGTTAATGTGCACCCTAACCTGAGTCACATTCCTGACCCGACCCTAAATAGTCCAGGCAAGCTCCAATGAAATATAAAACTGAATAACTAATGCAGAGACCATGTCCCTCCAAGGCAACTCAAAGACTGAAGAGTGGTGGACATCTAATGTGAAATCAAACATAAACATGAAGACAAATTAAACACCCAACATCCCTTCTTAGTAAAACATATTAATCAAATTTATTTATAAGCAGGGTTGACTGGCATTCAACACCAGTCAGTTGCTTCACATGGTATTTGAAAGAGCAAACTCTGTCAGAATGGGACAGGGGTTTGTCTCAGAAATAATGTTTCCAGACAGAGCACAGGGATGCTGCTGAGAGAAGGGATGTGGGTACAGTCTCTTTATCAATTTTGTGTTTCAGGACAAATAATGTTCCCTTCATTCTTTGGCATAAAAAGTAGAAATGAGCCAGCTGAAGTTCTTAAGCCATCACCCCCATTCTGCTCAGACAGGGGCTAAAGTGGTGCTGGGACAGATCACCTCCACCTCACCCTGAGAACACAAAGTCCTGGCGGTGGCAGCAGAGGAAGAGCAGTGACACATTTACAAACAGCACAAACCATCTCTCCATGCTCCTGAAGTAACACTCAAGACACTTGCAGTGCCTGTCTCACATTTTTCATAGATAAATACCAATACAATCAACACAGTCTCAATGCAGTTTCCGGATTAAGTCAGCTTTTTGAATCAGCTCCAAATTTGGAATATTAGACATAGCCCAAGGGAGACAGATTAGCAAAGAGAGAATATGTGAGGTAGTCAAAGGTGCTTTTTTTGTAGAAGATAAATGAAATTAATATCTGGAACAAAATTAGAGCAAGAAATCACAATACTCAAGAGAAAATTACTGTACTGCTCTACTTTCCTCTCAATCTGTGCATATAATTCCAATTATAACCGTTGGGAGTTATTGCAATAGCACATTTCAAGGGGAAACTGCACTTATGCATCTTCAAAAGGATAAATGGATCTATTTAAAGTCAGTCAAAAAGAAAGGTATTAGATTACAATCCTTTACTGTTATTTCATTCCTCCTAAAAAAAGCTCTTCCTTTCATATTCCTGATTTCCTTGCTGGTATCCATCACTGCTGAGGTTAGGAAAAGATGAAATGTTGATTTCTTCCAGCTAGTTTAAATGGGAATGGCTCTTTTGATCAGCAAAGCTGCAGCACTACAAAAATAATGAGTGAAAGATCAAATGATGCAACTCCCATTCTTGTTTAATACAAACAGAATTTCAGTTAGAGAACTGATTGGGATTTGGATCCTAAAACACTCAAAGCAACTGGAGAAATGTTCAAGAAAAGCACTACTGAAACTGAAGTAATTCCCTTCAGTTCTGCATAGATTAATTTTGAATAGATAATTTTATTTATATTTTATAACCTTTACAAATTTTACATCTTGATATTAGAGTACTTGCAAAACCAATTAGTTTTACTTAAGACTTTAATATAAATATCATGAAACCAATATTGTACTTGACTGTTTAAAGCATAATTTTAGTTTGAAATGTGTTTAAAGGATTAATATCAGATTTTTAACAACCTGCCACTGTTTATAGATGTTCTTGCATCCTCTACAGAAATGTGGTTCATTATACATTCACAGCCAGCCTCCTTTTTTCTCATTGTCATTGACAGAAAGAATAGTTTCCCCTCTCATTTCAGCCATATACAATTCATAGTCTGGAATGTTCAGTCAAAAATTCAAATGATGCAAATAGCTACTGCTGCTAGGAAATAAGTCTGGCACCAGATGGAGCAATCACATAACTCTACTTTTAGCTCAGCTGCACTAACATTAAAATTCAACAGACTCAAAGGGCTGTTCTTCAGAATTTTGGTTTAAATCACCTTTCTTCACTTACTCAACCTTTGTTGCACTAATGTGTCAGCTGAAGTCATCCATCCCTGTCAGACCTGTCATCTGTCCCCATTGTGACTGCCTTAGGTACATACAGACTTCTTACACAAATTAGGATTCTCCTTCACATAAAAGCTGAGGAGCTGTTTGCTTTTCTTTGCTATCTAACATTGAACTGTCATTGCAATCTCCACTACTGAACAGTTAACATCTTTTGAGAAGTGTACTGAAAGATCTTGGCTTGCCAGAAGAATTAAGTTGTAGGTTTACAGAAACACATTCTGTTTGAGACATCTGGAATCCACGAGTTCAGGTTATAAAAAGCATAGTTTGCATTCACACATCACTTCTACAGAAAGTAAAAATCTGAGGTAAATGTGAATTATAGGAATTCTGAATTACTTTCCTACTTAGATAATTTTCTGTTAATTTGTAACATTTCTCCTACAAATATACGCCTATGATATTAAATTTATCTGTGTTCCTAATCTGTGATCTCCTCTTACATATAATTTAGAAAGAAAATGTAAGATTCTGTTTTGTCAAAGAGAAACTGTACTGCAGTGCACACAAAACTTCAATTCTAAAGTGAAATCTACACTTTACAGATTTTCCTGACTTGCACAGATTCATTTTATTTAATTTTAAATATCTGTTTGGCAGCCAGGAAGCTTTCTTCACCATCAGTGAACACTTACCTTGCTGAAGTCAACAGTGCTGTTTTCTCTGCTGACATCATTTTTGTTTTCATTACAGGCTGGAGTAGCCTGTGGGGAAACAACCTGACCTGCTAAAAAAAGTACCATTATTACAGGTCTATAAATAAAGCAACATCCAATGACACAATTATTAGAGCTCTGCATACACTTCATATCACAGATATATGATGCACCTAAACATGGCATTTTAATTAAAAACTTATTTAGAATAGCACATTCTCAAAAGATAGAACATTCATCATGTGTAGCTAGGAATGTGAGAAGGTAATTTCAAAAATATAAAAGATACTGTTGGATATTAGAAGACAAAATTTCTATACCAATTAAAGGATACAGTTCTAAAGATATACATTTGGGGAAAGTCCTGCCTATTTACACAGCTTTTGTAAATAATTTGAGGAGCTGCCAATTTTGGGTAATATCTGTCTACAAAAGTAATCCTCATTGACCTAATAGGATTACGAATTTTCACAAAGTTACTCATGTGTATAAGAATGTCATGATTATAACAACTACAAAAAAACAACATAAAAGTGGACTGGTATAAAGATAAATATATTGGAAAATAACTGATTTATAAGCTCAGTATTGAAAAATGTGATTATGGACATGTATAAAACAAACGGTTCAGCAAACACATTTTCAAAAAAATTCCTGTGAGGATTTAGTAAAATATTTTAAAAGAAGTATTAAAAATTTCTCAAGATGAGAAATGTTTTAATACACCTCAGTCTTGTGGAAACAAAGAGCAAGTATTTTGGCAAACAGAATTTTGCCAGAAAAAGCTCAAAAAGAAAAAAACAAAGTCAAATAAATCTATGGCAAATGAAGCATATTTTTACTTAAAGCCAACATTGCCCCTGCACGTGGCCAGAGCCTACCATGCACAACCCGAGGGTGTGGGGCTGGCACAAACCCCACAGGGCACAAAGCCCCCGGGGGCACTGGCCATGCCCTGCTTGCCTTCACTCTTTCTCCCTCTCTGGCATGTCAGAAGCCACACACAGCTCTGAGCACCACAATCAAGTACAAGAGAAAGTACCAAATATATGAGCCAACTATCTCTTACTGCCCTAACACATACCCAGGAATAACTACAGAGTCCAGCTGGCCCAGAGTCAGCATCTCGTGCCCAGCATATATTTGTTTCCATAGCGAATAAAGTCTCTCATATGACTGAGAAATGATGATGTGAAAACATTGGTTCTGGTGAAAATCAACCTAAACTTGCACAGTAACAAAGACCATATGTTCATGATATTTGAAGATGAAGGCAGTCAGGAAGTCCTAAGCTCGGCACATTGTCTGGGCAATGCAGGAGCCACAGTGTGGCCCCTCACACTGCTGGGGCTCACTCCTGCAGCCCAGGCAGGCCCCGGCCTCAGCCTGGACACCGAGCACTGAGCAGGATCCAGCCTGGACACTGAGCACTGAGCAGGATCCAGCCTGGACACCGAGCACTGAGCAGGATCCAGCCCCAGCCTGGACACCGAGCACTGAGCAGGATCCAGCCTGGACACTGAGCACTGAGCAGGATCCAGCCTGGACACTGAGCACTGAGCAGGCCCCAGCCTGAGCAGGACCAGACACTCACAAGGGCCAGTCAGCCCCTGCCAAAATGCTGAAGGATCCAGTTTCTGTCACAGCTGAGCAATACAGGAACCCTGAGTCTGGTCATGAATTCCCAGCTGAAACACTTGCTCAAGGAAAATGCTGGTTTTCATGAAAATCAACATGTCATTTACCACTAGACAAATCTCGCATGATACAAAACAGGTTTTAGACTCATGTGTGCATCCTGGCAGCATAGACAGATATTGCACTTTGATTAGGTAGTACATTAACAGAATGTTTAAAAATATATTGCTAGAAACCCTATCTTTAAACTGCAAGTATTTCCGTTTTTCTCTCTGATTTAGGGCAAGGACAGATCAAAATAAGAATAGAAATCAGGGCTTTTGTTCAGCTCTAGAGTGAAATAAACAGAGAATGACAAACAGACATGACAAGCATGTTAATCTAAGCAAGTAGAATAAAAATAAAGTCAGGATTCAAATTTACATATGACAAAAAGAAAGGATTGATTTTAGAAATCCACATATTAATGTAAAGTAAAGGAATACAAAAAGAGGCTATTAATTCCTACATGTCATGGGAGAAATCTTTTGCAAAACAGAAGCCTGAAATTATTACATATGCAAGGTCTTTACAAACAGTCATTCAATTTGTCTGTTTTAATTAGAACTGAAAGAAAAACAGAGTTCCATCATTGTTACACCATCATCTTTACAATATGTGTTCCAGGGCACTACTTCACATTGTAATTCTTTTTCTGTTTGTTTATTTAGCAGTCCTTGAATTATTTTCACAGGAATCATTCTGCAGTATTACAGCTATTAAAAATCATTAATAGAAAAATTATATAAAATTTATTTCTATTCTATTTTGGAGATTTTATTAATGTGACAAAAATAATCCTTCCCCTTATTCAAACAGAGAAGGCATAAAGTGCTCAGGGAAAGCTTCTGTCTTCAGTTACTCACAAAAAACTTAAAATCTAGTAGTAATAGAAAACCTGCTGACTCTTCATTTTTTTCTTTTTAAACACTCGTCTATACCCAAGGATGTATGAAAAGGGAAATAGTTGTAATAATTACTCATACTAATATACATATTACATTAGAAAGAAGCTACAGGAAAGTAACAGAAATAGTAGTTCATTATCTTTCTTTTGCTAATTAGGCACTTGCACTTTTTTTTTTCTGGACCCAAAAATTCAAGAAAATGAGAGCAGAAATATCTGCCAGAGAAAAATATATTGACCAACAAAGGAGTCAAAGCATGGACCACTTGTTTAAATACTGAAGTTTTAACATCATAATTGGAGGTGTCAAAAGCAATCAGCATAACAGTCCAGAGGACTTTTAAACATTGTGTCCACATTTCTTTTAGGAGATAAATATGTAAAGATATACATATAAGGAATAAAAAGCCACCACCAGTAAGTATGTGAAGTTTTTAAGAATAGCATATGTTCTTTTTCTGTGCCAACAGAAGACCTCAAACTTTGATTTACCCATATGCTGGAGTAATCTGAAAGAACACAAGTTTTACCTTGAGGCAGAAAGACATGTTTAAATAGCTCTACAACTTCGGACAGCTTTCTGGATCATGGAACAACAAGTTTGGGTTTTTTACTGTATTGAGTAGCAATCAAATATACAAGGCAGAGACAACAGGTAATCTCTTTTCACAAAAAAAACCATCAAAGTAACCCCAAACTCTAGCCAGATTTTAAACATTTGTCATGGTTTACTACTTCTTTTGTTTGAGCTGAAAATAAGGGGTTTAGGCTGCTACAAATGGTGAAGGCATAAACCATCAACTCCCTACAAGAGGGAATAAGAGCAGCAACAGCCTCACCATTCCATTCTTTGCTGCCCTCTCCTCACCAGCTCCATTTCAACACTCCAAGCAAAATGGTTATTTGCACACAGTATTGGGTAAATACAGAATTTTGTTCCTCAAGAGTGCAATGTAATACTTTTAGTCACTATAAAGCTGAAGCCTGGATTTTTCCTGCAGTCCACCTACATAAAGCACGTGAAGAGCTGCATTCATCGAGAATTCATCAGAGCCATTCACACAGTTTTAGGAATCAAATGCACAGTGTGGTATAATTGAAATATCCAGGGTACATACAAAGGAATTTAATACATAACAGATAAAACCATGCTATAATTGGTGTAACAGCTTTCCTATGTAATAAAAAGTCAATATCAACACAGTTTTAAATTCATGTTTTAAAAAATTGCATATATAAAAAATATGCGTCTTTTTTAGATAATGTGAAATTGCCAGAGCTTTGACTAGAGCAGGAATTCACACAAAAAGCACTCTTGCATGCAAAGTCAATAGACTTATAAATCAAAATAAGGTCCACATTTGTTACAGTAATAGAAGTTTGCATTTGTAGATACAGTTTGCCATTTTTGAGACAGTTCTGGCAAATTAAAAAAAAATAATCTCAGTAAATTAATCTCACATGTAGCATATTCTTCCTCCCTAAAATTTAGAACTTAAGACATTTAACTGTTTGTTGTGGCTGTTATTCAAAATCCAAAATGTCTCCAGAACATCAACGATAAAAACGCAGAACAATGTAGTCAGACACAAATCACAGTTAATGGAAACAAACTGGATGCAACCAACACATCAAAGAAAACTAAATCAGAAAAGAAGTTGCTTATTTTTCTAAACCATATATATTCCTACCATTCAGGAAAAAAAAAAAAATCCTCATTTTCAAACTCCTTCAATCTCCAGACTGTTCACTGCAACTAGTCACCAATTTTCTAAATCTAAATGGACAACACTGTCTGGGTAAAAACTCAAAGATTGAAAAAACAGCACGTTTTCTTCAGTATATGATAAAATTCTATATAACAGAGCAGTGACACCATCTCTGCAGGCTGAATTGTGCGTGTGCATTTAGGCCTCCTGATGAACATTTTTAATCAGTGGGGAATCATGTCACTCCCACTGTACTTCAGTAACTACAGGGAGATTTTGTGTTCACTGATGTTATACAATTTAAGAGAATGAGGAAGAAGTCACTTTAGCTGTTTTTCTAATGCTAGGCCTGAATATCTCAAGCATAATTCACGTGAAGTCATGCAATATAAACTAAAATGCTGTGATTTGCAGTTTCATAAATTGATGCAAGAAAATGAACTTAATAAAGAAATGGCACTGTCCCCCCATCAAAACAACAAATTTCACACAAACTTCTCTTCAGTGTGCCACAGCTGCAGACAAAGGCCTGAGGTATTTTTTAAAATCATTATAGCAAGAAGTTGCATGCTGAGAGGAAATTGATATGAAGACATGGGTGTACATTTGAAATGGTCTGAAGCCCAAGCAAGAATAGGTATTTATACTACCTCTGAACCTTCAGGAGTTTACAGAACCCAAAGGATAGGAGATGAGGAAGGTACAGAGATGAGATGAGCCTGTTAGAGACAGACACAACAAAGACAGAGCAAAATAAAGAAATACAAAGATGAATGATACAGTTTTATACATACAGATTACACATCTTATCATGGGTACAAGGAAATGTAGAGAAAGAATAATATCAGATGAAAATGTTCATAAATACAAGTTATATTTTAGTAATATAAAAGCCTTGGAAAACAAAACCTGATTAAAATATATACATTTGAGAAGAATCTAAAACAAGAAATACAGCATTAGCAACCTTAAGGCAGAATTAACTATCGTTGAGTTTGTCTTCTCTTCAAGGTAAGCTGAAGCAAGTCCTCTGATCCAGATCCAATGCTTCAGAAAACTTGTGAGTATATCAATGGCATTGGTTGTGATTTACTCACAAAATCAAAGTGCATGGTCATATATTTAGGAATGCCTCCCCACCCTCTTCATGGTGCTCCAGCTCATATCCAGCTTTCTCCACGTATTGACATAGATTCACATGCTGTAAGCTCACTCTGAGTTATGACATAAAGCCTTGAACTGACCCTCAGAAAAGATTGGGAAACTGAAGAAGGTAACTAACACCATAACATAACTGAGAATTTTGACTTTCCAGAATGCTGAAGGATGCTATCCTAAATGAGGACAAGCACAGGCTCCAGTACCTCTGCTTGTGCTCATACTGCCACAGAACAATGAAGTCCAAACCAGCCCATCGTACTGACTGAAATAACTGGGAAAAGGTTTAAAAAAACATGTCAAAATGAACAGTTTCAGCAGCTCATGCTATTAACTCCAGAGATCCCAAATTTCATATGCCACTGCTTCCTTCAAGCTCTTTGGAATACAAATAAACATCTGCTTGGAATTTCAGAATTTCTCAGAATCAGATATGACGCATAGTGCAACCCAATTTTTACACTAATAATGTGCCTGCTCTGATGTCATGGGAGAAGAAACTCTTATAGATGGCATAAGTATGGAACAGGAAACATGCATAAGATCATGTTATTGTGGGTAAAGCACATTTCAGCAAGGTGCATGAATATAAAAGTAACTTAGCCTGTCATAGTCCTCTCCAGAGTTCCTTCCTCTTGAGCTTTAACCAGTTTAATGTCTACTAGATTTCATTATAAATATATATATATATGTATAAATGAATAACATATATACATCCCTAGACTAAAAGTGAAATAGTCAGTCAAAACTTCTAAATTTTTATATGATTAAAACTTCTTTTCCTAACTACATTTTCACTGAATCAGTTATTTTTTCATACCACACATGCTTAAACTCTGAATTTCAGAACTCCTTTATAAAAGGGGAGAGGCTTATGAAATTATTTTAGCATTCCTATAAAACAGAGAGGCATCATATATTGGCAGTTGTCTTTGGCTTTTTAGGCCCACATCATAGGAATTTATAAACACAGCTCTGAGGTATCAGAGTGTGAAACCTACTCATCTCAATAAAAATAGGTTAAATTGATTTATAAAGCAAACTTTCTAAAGATGATTTACCAATGAAAATTTTCATTTTTTTTACCTGCCTTTTATAGTATTTATGCTAAAATCACTTGCCACCCTCTATTTTGGGTATTTGGTGTCAAATTAGCCCATAAAAAAAATCATTTTTTCTGCTCTTATGCCAAATTTGACTGTCGTTTTTTATTGGAACATCAAAAGCAGGCTTTTAATTCTCACAGTTTTGATGCCTAATGAAAAGTGAAAGTTAAACACAGCATGGCAGCATTAAAAATGCATGGTAAATCCATAGCACCCTGACATCTTAGCCCTGCAGAGGATGTGAAGAAAAGCCATTGTAAACAAAAGATAATGCTACTAAATACAAAGCAAATTAATTAGATGGTCTGACAGATTCATAAACAAAGAAAAATGGAGGGAGAACATATGTACAACTATCTTCCAGCAAAGACATCACAATGGCCTGTCAGTAGTGCTGCCATATATTGAATTAATTTATGTATTCATTTTCAGACTTTGCTCTTGAACATCTGAAAATTGACACATTGATAAGCTACTATTGTCAAGAACTTGGACAAAGAAGGGAGTTTGAATCCTCAGCTGTACCACACAACCCACAGATCAGGGACTTGGGGCTCTGAATCACCTTTTTAACAATCAACAAACTGCTAAGGTTTTTTTCCAGCTCAACTGTCTAACACTAACCCCAAATTTAATCAAAGAGACAATTTCCTTTTGTGCAGAAAAAGTGTCCAAGTTCCCACGTCTCATTTCAGCAGGAACAAACAAGTGTCCCTTCCAAAGCTCCTGGTCAATGCAGGAGAGAGCCAAATGCGCATTAGCACTTAAAGGATGCAAGTAGAACAATGCCACAAACTGATTTTTAAAAATCTCTGTCCAAAAAGTTCATGCTTAGGATTTTTCAATGTAATTTAGATAGAAATCTGAGATACTTTCACATAAGCTTCCTGAAAACTCCTGAATCTCTATAGGTTATTCTATTTTTTACAAACCTATCTAATTTCTATTTTGTGTATTGGTATATTTATTTTAAATTAACACAGTAAAAGTGACCAAGATTTTTTTAACAGAGGTCAGAACACTCTGAGACATTTCTACACAAGTGAACTATGCATTTGGCAATTTTTCATCTTGCAAAATAGGGACAGACAAAGGAAAAACTGTAAGAATGTCTCCCTACTTAAGAGAATCACTTAACCACTCAGTATATAAAATTAGTGTGTTTAATATGGACTTACAAGCTATCCTGATGAGAATTTTTTGGGGGGGGGAATTTAGGAAGAGCTAGGAAGTTTGCCAGAAGAAACTTAGGCAAAAGTAACATGTTTCTGGAGTGAATTACTGCATCAGTTCCACTCACAGACACATAAAGTTACCAAAATCGAGCTTATGATAATTTCACAGCTTGCCCTGAAGGTTCTTCTTAAAGCAACTAATGTCTATTTATTACATAGGATGTAGTGCAAAAAGCTTAATGGAATGCAAGCTGCCATCTTACATCCTGTGGAAATTAAGTACAGGATCATTGTATCATTAACTTTCTCTAGTGTCTCCTGGATATTTGTTTAAAGTCATCAGCAAAAGCTGTATAAATCAACAGGAAAGTTGCCTTAAAAAGGATGGACAATCATCCTACTTACATTTAATCTTGTGCATCCGTATGCATGATCACACACATCTTAGTAAATATTAATTTTTTCCTCACTCTTAGAGTGACACTTTGCCACAATTAAGGTTTCAATTTCATATCCTCATCAGATGAAATTATATGTTGCCTTTTAGGCCTAGAATCTTCCCCAGGGAAGCAACTAGATTTAGATCTCTTAAAACTTTATATGGCAATGTTTGAAAAAAACTCTCTTCCTTGAAAACAATGTTAACCTTTATTATATATAAGCAGCCCCATCTTCCTAAATCAGCCACACAACTGATCTTTGCCTTCTGTCCTGTGCCTCAGAGTACACAGATTCCTCTTGCAATCCTCACCTTCCCTGTGCTATGACTGTTTCCTCACTCCCTGTTTCCCAAGGTGATGGGGAGCTCATAGGGCTCTGAAACAGAGGGACAGCAGAAGGGACCAGGATTTCACTACAGTTGATTTCTGGAATAAGAGTTAACTGAAAAATATTTGCAAAATTTAGCTGCAAATTTCATAACACAGATCTTTGTTTATGCAAATAAGGCAGGAGAAATAAGAAATTATCTTTCATTATGATGACCTATAACAATAATACACCTTGTAAGGTCTTCTGTAAAAGCAAGGGGAAAAAAACGTTATGCCAGCATTTTACTCTAGAGCCATTCTGCAAACATTTCTCATTTGCATTATCCTGATTTTCCCAAAAGGGATTTTTTGAAAGAACAAGGTACAGCTTTTGTGACATCTCTCCAACAGTGTTATCTTGAAATGTTTGCCTCGTTTAGCAAGCCCTCAAACTCACCTATAAAATCTGAAGCAGCAGTTGAGTACTAGCTAATGCATACACTGATTCAACAATCCACCACATTTTAAATAAATAGGTCGTGGCTAGTCAACAGAAGTCAAAAATAGTCCTACCACATTCCTGACACTGATGGAGCCTGTCCACAGCTCAGAACAACCCTGTGCAAAGATGCTCAAGCTCAGTCTGACAAATTGCACAGGACGCCTAAAGCTGCACTGGGAACAACACCCCTTGCCAGCCACCCAGAACACCCAGCACAGCTTCCAACACCTCAGAGAGCTCCCTTGAATAGCTCTGCCCAGCCCTGAGTTGTGCAAGGTAGCCAGATTTCAAATCTGAGCAGGTGTATTTCTGAATGCATAAGAGGAGCCACTCTCATGCAAAAAGGACCATTTTTACAGGGTAGTTTTCAGAGTAGAATCACACTGTTAACCTGTGGGAACAAAGCGCATGCAATACCAAACAGGCAGATGCTACTAAAGGCTCAAAATGCAAAATAAAGCATTACCATTTTTATCCATGGAATGGGGCTCAGACTGCTTCTTTCCAATGTCAGCAAAGGATCTTACAATTGGGATCCTGTTGCTCAGCTTCTTCTGGTTCTGGTGGTGATGCTGTTTCAGCAATGCCTCATGCACTCTGTGACGAACATCCTCACTGAGCTGCCCAGAACCCACCTGCTGGTCCAGAATCATATCTGAAAATACATACACAAACATAATAAAAGAGGGGAATGAGGAAACAATTTCTCTTAAATTGCAATAATAATAATGATTAGTACCCTATAGGATTGTTGCATTATAGTTCCTTTAATGCAACAGAATTTAATGGAAGTTTTATCTAGAAGTCTTTCACTTTCAGGGGGAGAGAGACAGGGGAAGGGCAGGGACAAAAAGATGTTATTTATATTTTAAAATCCTCAAAAAATTGTGCTGTTCACAAATTAAGGTCACCTATGCAATGTCATTGAAGTCAGTTCCTAAGCACTCTTAGATATAATATATTTAAATTCAGGGTTATGATGAGGATTAGATGTCTTTTTTTTTTTTTTTTTTCAAATAACTCCTATTCTATTTCCTACAAAGGACTGGCTGTGAGGAAACATTTTTTTATTCCCTTTGTACTTACCACAGGAGATCACAGTCTTTCTTTCTTGTAGCTATAATTACAATACCTTCAGTGCAATGCAAAGAAAGTCCAGGTAAGACAACACAGAAAAATTGCTGCGTTATTTGTCAATTCCAATAGAATCTATTTCTACTGCCAGATGTACATGTTACTGCAAGACGATAATTTCGAGCAGATGAGAGTGAAACTGAACCCCCTGCTAAGAAATTGCAACCATTTTTGCAGTGGACTAGCAGAAAACAGTTTTACATATTCATATTCAACACTATTTGCTTACAGGTAAGTACAACTCTACTTGTATGGTGTCATTCGTGGAGTAACAGTATATTTCAAACAAAATATTAAAATATATTAACTGCTGAGGATGATCTCAATATTTAAGATTATCCATTTAGGAGGGAAAATTACAGGAAAAAGAAAATCAAATCCCTATCCGCTTCCTTTCCCTAGAATGTTCTGCTAGGCTTCTTAACAGCCACAAAAGCCACAGGGTTGGTGCCAGTGTGGTGAGTAACAGTTTTTATTTCCTGCCAGAAAGAAGAAAGTGGCTTACCTAGAAATTTTTGGGTTTTTACAATGACTTCCCTTTTACTGTAGCACTGCTGGCACATGTAATAAGGGAAGATGCATTCAGTTTTTGAAAGAGTGAAGATGTGCTTTCTTGCCTTGGTATTTCCCTCCAGCTGTCATTCTTTTAAAATAGACCCCATTGCAGTAGTCGCTGCAGGAGCTTAAATACAGTCAAATTTCTGACAGATTGCTGTATTTTGACCCTTTTTTCCAAGCCCTGTATAGATGTGAGCTGGAATAAGAAAGACTGTGTCCATCCACCCCTATCATTATGGGATTCCTTTTCAGTTTCTTCTCAAGCTTCTCAAAATATTTTTTAAAAGCCCAGGCCCCTGCAATATCAGTAACACCCTTAATTGAAAAGATTGTCTTGAAAACAAGACCAGCATGGTTTAATTCCAACATTAAATGGCCCAAAGGAACATTTTAAACATTTAATTTTCAAAATTGACTGTAATCACTTAATCCTGTGAGTAGAAGAGCCTACATGGTCACATCAGTTGAAGCTATACATATTTCCAAAGCCCTGGCCTTCACTTTTGTATCCAGAACAGGCAGCCATTTCTTCACACTCCATATGAAAAAAGGAGAAAAGAATCTTTGTTTTAAAGAATTTTCCTCTTGAATGCCCTTTTAAATTCTGCACAGATCCCTTGTAGCCATAGACACAGCTAACCATTCCCTTTTTCAAGGATACTTCACTACCATATGAAGCTTTCAGAAGGATGTGGAACCTGTGGAATATCCAGCAGCACAGTGTTACCCATTCTGTAAAATGCTCACCCTGCAGTGTGACAGTGTGACAGTGTACTTGTTGACATCAAGTACACTAAAGCAGGATTTTTCTTCAGTAAGGAATCTTGGTTGATACTGGAACCATGAAATATTATTCTCAAACCTTTAACGACTGATATTCTCCCTGACCTGGTCATTTAAAAGAATTCAAAGAAACTTGGGGTTTCATGTATTTCAAGAATGTTTTCTCCATTCATATTCAGTTAAAATATATCATCTGTATAAAATTAATTTTGTGAGTAAATGTGAGCGATGTGAGTACTTTAACAAGCTATTACAGTAACTGAGCTATAACTCATCACCACCTGTGAACAATTTACCCAGGCTGTGAATTACAGCACTGGGGTGCAGACAATTTGTATCAGCTCAAATGCAGCATGGCTCATGTGTGGCCCAGCAGAGGAAATTCCATCTGTGCCACCTCTAGAGCAGCAAGGATGCAGAAGCAGGCTGGCTGCTTCCACTCACTCTGGAGGTGTCTGTCACACTCTGCAGCTTTGTACACACACACGTGGCCAGACCCACGTGGAGCCCCCACGGGTCCAGGAAAATGGACAATAAGGAGGCTTCAAGTGTGATGACAGCTCACTCCCCACTGCACCAGGTTCACAGTGCTCATCACCTCATGTGCAATAATACACAGAATGCTCAGGTGAAACACAGAATAAATTCATAGAAAACATTCTGTATTTCTATCAAAATACCTGTGAAGTCCTAAAAGAAATTACTGGGCTCATATTCTCCTGATGTAGGTTAGGACTAGCAGTTTACAGCAGAAACTGAATTCAGTGTATAACAGCGAGGGTGCTGGAATTCAGACTTACAAATTTTATAACTACACAGTTGTAGGACAAAATGAGAGATTAGTGACAAAATATAAAACACACAGGCTTTTGTGTGCATCAGGATTGCAGTGATAGCTGACTACAAAGCCTAATTTAAAAGTCAAAGGTTTTCTGGCTTATGCTTGTTGCCCTTAAAGACAGGGAAGAAGAAACCAAGCAAACCTAATTCATCACTTTATGGAAGACAATCAGGTGGAACACCGTCCTTTGTCTTCATGGGTCTCTAAAGAGGAACACAAATGTATCCTTCCCCAGTGAGTCAGGAAGGAGGAGCAATATAAACCCAGCAATTAGGGTTCCTGGGCTGCACTTGTGAACCAAGACCCATTTACATCATTTACAATGGTGATTATAAACAAGCTATCTAAGCTGGCAGATTTAGCAGCTCATCCAGGAGGGCAGAGCACTCCAGTGCTTCGAGACACAGATTCTATTTCCAGCTTTACCTGAAATTATTTGGTTCAAATATTCAAGTCTATAATACTTGAAAAGGAAAGAAAGAATGAAAAATGTCTGCTTTTTAAAATAACAGTGTGTAATTTTACTGAGGAACAAGAGCAAGTATTTCACAAAACTGTAAATTGCAGAGACGAGGCCAAAATTCCCAGCTTGCAGTTCAGAACTGCAGGCATAGAGAATACCTCATAAAAAATAAATTTTGCAAGCAGAGATTGGCTTGTGCAATCTAAAAGGATTCCTACAGTTGTGGCTAACATGGGAAAACACAAAACAACCACACAAAAAGACAATGCTACTTAGAAGTTGGAATATCTACAATTTAGCCACAGCCAAAGGAACAAAACCTGACAGTTTCTCTGCAGAGGTTATTACCACATGCTAAGCTGAAAATAAAGCAAACAAATGCAGGAACCTGGGTAAGTGAGAAGGTGAAAGCTGAACAAAAGACAGGTGTAGGGTCAAGCAGAGAAGCAGATTACTCACAGGCAATCCCACGCTTTATTACAGTGTTTGTAATAAAAGTTAAATGTACCATAAAAGCACTGTCAGAAACATAACACAGTGTGAGGGCTGCAGATGAAACAAAAGGCTCCAGTGAAATAAAATCTCAACTTGAGCCAGTTAAAATATGTAGTTATTATGGAGTAATATAGCTTAAAGCAAACAAAGGTAAAAGAAGACTTGTTCAGATTGAAAGCTTAACATGATGTTACCGAAATCAATAAAATTGCACACTTGGGATGCAATGCCCTGAGTTGCTGAGCACAGAGTCTGGTGACCTCAATCACAAGATTAAGCTGTTACACAGATTGAAAATTCAATCGTAGGGAACATACAAAAGAGTGCTTGGGAAAAAATAGATCTTGGGATTGGAAGGGAAGGGTAGATTTCAAACTTAATTTTAAAAAGAAACCATTATTACAATTAAACCATTTAAAATAAATGGGAATATTTCAAATATGTGCAAGTCGCCAAAGCTCCACTGTGAGGCCACAGTTTGTATTTGACAAGGTTTGACATTTGTTCACAGAACACTCTGCACAACTACAAGAATGTGCAAGTTCTGTGGCTCATGCTGTAAAGAAAGTATTGCCATTAAAGGCTGGACTGAGTAGTTTTTGAACCAAACAACAGAAAATGGCATCATATGTTAAATAGAGAAACCTTTTGGGTTCATTCAGTGGTTATAATCAAAAAACCAGATGGTAATCTGAGAATCTACATGGTTTCAAAGGAACTAAATGAAAATATCAAAAGAGAACATTTTCATCTGCCAACTTGAACAACACAGTGAAGCTGCTCTCTAATGGTACCGCCAGATTCTGGCAAATACATCCTCAAGAGACAAGTTCCAAAATAAACTGTTTTGATTACATAGATTTTTCAGACTTCCTTTTAGCATATGTTCTATACAGAAGTGATCGATAAAATATTACTACATAATGTTCAGAGGAATTCCTTGTGCAGGGAGTGCTAACTTACTGATACAGGAGTCACTGCAAAGACATATGAAAAAATAACATCACATGTTAGAAACAGTAATAACTCCCCCAAAATATGTGCAATAAAAATTGCATTTTTAAACAGGATAAAGTTCAGCAGAGGAACTGAGCTCTTTGCAAGACAAGCAAAATCCATCTTACAAAAATTAAGAACAATTTCAGAAATTCAGGAACAAACATGCTGTTCTGATGTATGATGACAGTGTTGGAAATTCATCTCAGAAGTCTCTGTTATAACAAGATGCTGTCAGTGAATTCAGCATCGTAGGTATGAATAAGCTCTTTTGCAACAAGGAAAATTGTGTGCCTGTCCAAAGAAATATACAATATTGTAGGTGAAGTAATTTTTAAATATGACAGCTGGAATGAAAAAGACCTAATAGAGAATGGACATGTTGGAATACAGGATGATTTTAAAATTTTCACCACATAAACAGTACCAAAATATTTTTATGCAGAACTGCCATTGTTTCTAGAGATAAAAGACAAAATACATGGTTCTGGAAACCATGCAAACACTACAAAAGGTGGCTTTCATCTGTACATTTTACCACAAGCCCATTAATGTCATAAAATACAGATTTTAATAACAGAAATTCTCAAGGGCTAAGTGCTAAGAGTTTAATGCATTAGTGAGTAAGTGTTTATAGATTAAAAGCCTTGACTAAAACAAATAGGAATTCTTAGTCTCAATTTAGCAATAAAGTTTAAGTACAAATCTTTCAAGGATATGAAGACGGGCACTGCATTAATAGCAATGTAATTTGATATTGGAATATAGCCCAGATAGCAAGACATCACCAATAAATACACAGCACACATTTCCTGCTAACAAAGGCAAGAAGAAAGTGCATGTGCACAAATAATGTATTTGTTTTCAAAAGATGATGCATTATAGCAATGCAGTAAAATTATCAAAAGATTGCATTAAAAAACCAAAACATTAAACTATGAATCAGAAGCACAAGAATCAAATTTAATTCAGGAGTACCCCTTAAAGCCATAGGACATAACCTGTTTTCACAAACTCTCCTAAAGGTGGCATACACAGTAACAGGGAACCAAAACCAAAAGTGATCACCAGGACTGCTGGACAAGCCTGGCATGAGGATGGCTGGCAAGGCAATTAGCAAGAGCTGAATATTGAAAAAAAATTTGAAGCCAACAGGTGAGAGCAGCCATTTCTTCAAATTCTAAAGCGTCAGGACTGTCAGATACAAATGGAATACATAGCAGTTCCTGGTGAAAACAGCATTTGCCTTCTATAGCACAAGATAAGTAGGATTCTAACTACTAACAGGGAATAACAACTGACTGGAACAGACAACAAAGGGTTTCCTGAGTGTGGCATCACTTCCATGATGCAAAACCAACACATTGAGACCTACCAATCCTGCCCAATCTCCACGTCCAGCAGTCACTTTCAAGTAAAAAGAGCACCCTGTCATATTACTTGGAATTGTCATATTTCTAAGATACCCAGCACACAGGCCCTGGTGGTGTTCTTATCACCACTACTATCAGCCTTTCCTTCTTGCAGTGCTGCCTACTGTGTGCCATACTCTAGGTAACATTGTCTAATCACTGGAGACCAGGAATTACACACACAGCAGTAAAGTAACAAATTACAAAGGGACTTGATTGAAGAAAAGTTAAATAGCATTGCTGCAAATAATATTAACAAAGAAAATAATAATAACAGAGAAAAAACTTGCACAAATAATAACAACAGAGAAAAGCAACCAGAGTAGCAACTTTATTTCTGGAGAAAACACAAAAAAAAATTAAATGTCTGCAAAGAAACCTGACAGAATGCAAGTAATTTACAGAATGATTCACTTGCCTGAAGCACCTGCTGCAAAGCTTTTTTAAAAAAGAATAGTTCATTGCTTATTGAACCTGAAAAGGAGGAAAAATATAATCTTCTCTTGAAGACCAAGCACAACTCATGCAAACCTTATCATGTGTCAGGTCACCTTATCAGTAAGGGACTTCAAGCAAATAATACAACAAATAAAATGCATCCAAATCTGCCACAACAACAGACACTTTTTAAATGAAAATGGTACATTTCATTTAATGAAAATCATCCTAAAGCCTCTTCTCAGAATAGGTTTTCCTAATCAACAAACCAGGATAAGCCACAACTAAGGCTGACTTACAATAGGGTGAGGGTAACTCCCCAAATTCTCTGCTGAAGAACAACTTACATCTGTGGGGAGTTCCAAGATTAGCATTACAAATGCTCAAATCCTTGGCCATATTAACTGAACCCAAATCACTATAACTAAGTTCTGAGATTATAAACAGTAATTAATTGGGGTCTCACTATATTGGAAAATATACTGTATTTTTTCAAAAACAGGGGAAAAAAGGATGCTCCCTGAAGTTGGGGTTTTTTTGCATTCATCCTTACTTTTTTTACCTACTAAAAGAAACAATTCTGGAAGGGCTTTCTTAGCTGACTATAGACTAAGTTGAGTGGTTTCTGGATTAAGAATGTAAAGCTCAAGATTGAAAAACCCAGTGTGCTATTTAAGCAAAGAAATGATACAAGAACACTATGCAGCTGACCGAAGTACTCCTTAATTACGTATAAATAAATAATAAAGCACCATACTGATAGACACCTTTGTTCTTTCAAATGAGCTGCTTTTTATTCTTCATGCTTATCTCTCATGATGACAGATTTTGAAGATCTAATTCAGACTATGAGTCATGCAAGAATCAGATCTCGGCACAGAGTAGAAACCCACACAAGTTTCTGCAGATTTATATTAATAATATCTTGCATCAGTTTGACATAAACAATTTGGGAAAAGTAAATACAAAAAGCAGCTACCACAATCTAAGCCAACTTTAATTCTATTGTTAAATACAGCCCACCAAACAATATCTCCCCTACAATTAAAATAAGTAAAATTAAATTTATATGGGACTTACATAGATTTATACATCATTCACAAAGCAGTTTTCTTGATAATCTTGAGTGTCAGAAAATGTTATTGCTTTGTCCTTTGTATATTTCCTAATCTAGGAAATATACAAAGTTACACTCTTTAAGGGAAACACCAGGAAAGCAGGAAATGGCATTTAGTCTCAATCTCACTTATACTTTTGGGAGAGAAGACTCATCCATTTTTGTCTTGCTCAGAAGCTCCCACAAGCTCTAAAACTGCAACTACCAAATTAACTTCTATTGGAAAAAATGCACTCAACTTTATCTTAAGTTAATGTACCTAAAATTTCTTTTAAAAACATACACTCTATCATTACTCCTGATTTCCTTCTCAACTCAGAGACATATCTGTTTTCATGTAATTTAATTGCAATAAATACTTCCCTATGTTTTGGGGTTTTTTTAAGCTAGATTGCCTGTAATTAGCATAGCAGTAGATTAAGTTTGTGAAAGTTAGCACACGCCTCATTCACTTGAGGCAGCATGGCAGGAGCAGAGAACATGCCAGCTCTAATTAAATCTAACCAAACTACCCTCTTTCTTCCATTTTAATTCTCTTCTTTATTCAAAATTGATTCTTAAAGCAGCAGATTCCACATAAAAAATATAAATAGAATATTTATTAACTGTGCCAGACATGAGTTTCTTTTCTGGTAAATTGAGAAAAAACTTCCGAGGAGTTTCTAAACGGAACTGATTATTATGCAACAACTTTCTTGGTAAGCATTTCATTTTTATTAAATAATTTTTATAACCAATAAATGAAACATTGACACATACCTGCAATTTCTTCTATGGAGTTAGCTCTCATGTCCAGAAGAACTGTGCCATTCAGGATGCAGCTCCTCAGCTCAAACAAGCTATGAAGTGACAGTGTGGCAACGTAGGGCTTGCTCCACCTCTCTCCACCATCCTCTACATCTTCTTCAAACTTCAACCACCTATACAAACAATCAATGTTATAACTCCATTGTGCATAAGAAATGAAAAATTAATTATTTCTATGAATGCTGAAAGTACAGACAAAGACATTAAGCATGTCTTTAGATTTCACTTTATTCTTCCTTTTCAGGAAATATGAGAAACTTCCATTGTCTACTTCTTTAATAATGCTGTATTATATCATGTTTGAGGTTAAGTTCTGACCACAGAGATGAAGAGATAAATATATTGAGCAATTATCATTGTACTCTACAAGAACTTTGACTAATTCTTTGGCTTACAATGATATTTCTGTGACAGAATAACAAGTTGTGTGGAAAGGAGTCTGGAGAAACCTCAAAAACGTAAAAGGATATAAGAAACTGGCATGAAAGGATCTCAAGTCTTTAGTTACCATCCAGCCAGACAAACTTGCTTGAGACTGAATTCTCTACTGATAAATATTGCACTTAAAATGTTAAAAGAATATTAAACAAACAAACAAACATCTGAGAAGTCACACAGGGACGGTGCTGTGTGGAGCCCTGCAACCTGCCAGCCTAGCAAGGTTTGGACAGCTGCAGGCACAGCACATACCTGTACTGCTTGGCTCCACAGCTCTCAGCTCTTTTATATGGACATGGCAGCAGAGCAGCCAGGCAGAGCCTCACACCTGGACAGCTTCTTCACACATTTCCAGGCAGCAGGGAAATGTAAAGCCTTAAGACCTTTAAGGCTGAGGAATTTCCAGTTTTACCAAGCCTCGCAGCCCAGCAAAGCAGCTATCACAGCTGTCCTCCTCTGTTCCTGGGCCACACATGCTCTGCTCCTACTTGTAAAATACCCAAGTATACCCACATTTTAGACACTTTTCTCCTTTCAGTCCTTGTGTACCAAGTTCTTCCCCTTTTGCTGCCACCCTGCAAGCAGCCATCGCTTCACTGACTCACTCATCAGCAGCATACCTGCTCCCCCCCTGATGGAACTGTCCCAGCTGCCTTCAAATCATCCTCTCATTATTCATAGAGACAATTTGCCTTGGGTCCTTCAAAATCTCCAGTCTCCTATGTCTAGCCCTCTCCTCCTCTTTGTATCGAAACATTTTCCCTCCATTTCCTCTGTGAGGAAACGGGCCAGTTTCTGTACTTGGTCTTTGCCCATGAGAACTCTTTGCTCTTCATCAGACCTGTTTCCCACTCCCTTTGCTGTATTCTGTTTTCTCTTCTCAGCCCATCCCCTTCACCTTTGCATTCCTCCAGAGAAGCAGCAAGGAGGACACAGCACAAAAATTTGCTTCCACAAAGCCAAACCATGAAATCGAATTTGCATATGCAAATGATATTTTCCAAATAAATTTTCAAATCCATGTCCAAAGGGACATCAAAATCAATTTAACACACTTCTCCCCATCAAATTCAAAGCTATACTATTAAAGGAAGCCCTACAACACCTCAGGGAAGAAGCATGTGAGCAGAAAACTAGTTCTTAATTTTTTTTTCATTTTGCACTTATACTTGAACTCCCTAAGAAGAGGATGCTCTGTCTTATTAATGGCACTCTTGTTTCCAAGCTGAAAAATGTGCAGTACCTATTTGTATCCACAGCATCACAAATACGGTGCATTTATTGTCCTGTTTAAACTATTGTCTCTCAAGACTCTGCAAACTACCTACCTTTTTCTCTTCTCATACTTCCATCTTCGTGTATGTTTCTAATCTCTTTAGGAGATTTATAAGATCTTTATGCTTGAGTATTCTTAATTATTTCTGTTACTATGAATTATTAATAGTGTTATTATATATCTTATTATTTGTGCTTAGCTTGTTATATCTTTTATGCTGATTAAGAAAAAAACCTAAAAACCATGCTCCCTATAGTCTAAAGAAATTATCCAAGCATAGAGTTTGACAAAATATCATCAGAAACCTCATACTGTCATTACCTTTTGTTCATGTAAGTCAGTCTTCAACATTGCTTATCTGATTATGCTGCTGCAGTCTGTCCTTCATATTTCCTAATTTAAATCTACTGACCAGCTGTAAATAGATTTTAAAAGAGCAATAAAAGACAAGCATGTTCTTAAAAATCTAAGACAGGTGACTGAACAGAGGCAGGCTTATTATCAGAGCTTGTAACATACCAGGGACACAGAGAAGCCTAAATCATGAAAACAGCTTTAATTGAAGTTTATATTGTCAGACATTAAAGTTTACCCATTGGTGCATAAAAATCCATAGGAAACTATTGCTCAAATAATTTTACTTGTCATTGTGATCCTCTGCATTTCCATGAATTGGAATAGTATAATTGTATGGGTTGCACCCCATTTCCTACTGTTGCTGAAACTTAGGTGTTGAAACACATTATCATACATTGTTACTCAATGAGTCAACAAGCCAGGACATGGAATTAAATCATGTCCAGCTGAGAGCATTCTGTGTTTGAAATAAATTTCTATTTTGATTTTAATAAGCATATCATAAGTTTGCTAATTTCATCAAAGGAACAGCATTATACTATTTATCACCTTTTGTCTTTACAGAAATATGTCTGTTATGTAAGTGAATCCTTATTTAACATATCAAATGAGAAAGAGTAGCAGTAAACATGAAACAACTCTAATCTTATGCAGAGCCTTTCAATTCTAAGTGTTCAGTAGTTTTAAAAATCATAATACCATTTGAACAATCCTCTGAATTCGTGAGCAAGGCTCCATGACAGAAGTGGCTTTGAAATACAAACTCAGGCATAGATCCCAGTTTGCCAATTTTGTACTCCTTTTAGTTTCTCAAAGAGAAATTTAAATATATTTACTTTTGCAGTTTAACCCCTTAAATTTTGGTATGACTGACAGATAAAAGCCTTTCTTAGTTTCTTGGGCAACATCATTGGCCCCTATCGAGCTCATGTCACACGCATCCCCTGCGACTGGAACACATCTGGAGCTATCTCTGTTGTGTGTGATTGCATGGAAGAGCACTTTCATCCCTACAGCTTTCTTTTACTGCTACAGACTGGCACAGGTCTATTGATAACACAGTTTAGTGCCTCTGATAGAGTGCTTGCTAGAAAAAACATGCCAGCACGAGTTTCAGCAAGGCATGTTACTATAGGAAAAATACAACTCAGGCTAGGGTGGGTACACACACCTTATGTACATGTCCTAGCTTCTAACACCAGCTTCATCACTTTCTTAGGCATCAATAAAAGAGTGCACATGCTTCATTTTAGACATAGTTACTGCATTTTCTGCACAATATGAAGTGGGTGACTGTATTTTACCTGTTTCGTAGTGTGGTATGCCTGCAGCAGAGAGATGGAGAATGTACTCACAACAGTTAATGGTTTGAATGTAATATTTCAATCTGTATCAATTTCCACATGAGCTTGTGCCTGCCCACACTGGTTTGAAAACCAACCAAACAATACAAGCATGTCAGGAACAAAGCTGCGGTGAGAAACTTATGTTTCTTGTGACCCACTTTCTTTGGAAGAAAGTTTTGATCCAGGGAAAGTTACACTTCCTAACTTTCCCTCACCCATCCATTTTCCAGTCAATATTAACAATTTACTTTCTAAACTATGGACACGGGGTTATTTTCCTAACTGTGCATTGAAATTTAAGCTTAAGCACTTTCTTCCTGGTTCCAAGGCTCTTTGTATTTTCTTCCTTACTACATAATTTCTTCTGCTCCATAAAGATAGTGATATTTTCCAGATATTTTTGGTTGATACTAGCACACAAAAGAATCCCAGAAGTCTGGGTAAAACTTGCTACAAAGCAGGCACCACTTTCCACCCATGACACATGAATTGCCTTCCCAACAGCTGTAACTTGCAGCTACACTATTTGGTGCATAAAATAAATCCAACTGTTACACTTCAGCACGTTTCTCCACAAACTTACCAGAATTTTTTTTTTCCAGAAGAGAAACTATGCATCATCTCCATAGATAATGCACAGCTGTACAGCTGGGCCACATACAAAAACTGTTGTAAGAATGACTATTGATTTTAAAAGGTATGTGTTTCTTCTGGCTTGAAATCAATTGATGGAGAAAAAACTTATCCCTATATCAACATAACCAAGCTATTCATTCCATTCTGCTCACCAACTAATTCCATGGATGGGACAGTCTAAATCAGATTCTGGAACAGAAAAGTCCAGTGCACTTTCAATCAAACTGAAAATACCAAGATACAGATGTGCTTCATCGGAACCAGCCCAACACTTCAGTCCAGGTGCACCAAGTGCAGAGCCTGGGGAAATGAATGCATACCCACTTAGTGCTATCACTCTCATTAAATGTAATAAATCTCTACCTGAAACTACATCCAAAGCCAAACAGTAAGATTTACAAATATTTCCAAGTGACATTTTTCAAACAGATGAAAAACATACAATAAGCCCGGAACAGCAACAAAATCAGGTTGTATCTTCTCCATACCATGCTTTTAAGTCAAATCAATAATTTTGAAGTTCTGAATCAACCACAGGTATTTAAAGTGACCCACTGTATTAGTTTCTAAGCACAGAATCTTGCATATTAAACACCATCCCATTTCTATTACTCTACTCAAAGCCACTTGGTTCTTTGTGTGTGATACCTTTATCTATTTCTAGAGGAGTAATACCTCCTAATTTCTTATTATCAGCAAGTTTCCTTATTATAATCCCATTTTTAAATTCAATAATAAATCTATTTATTAAGCCTCATTCTTCAGAAGTTAGCTGTCACTACCTTTCACGCTAATAGTATAATCTCTCAGCATGGCTTGCTGCACCTCTTCAAATAGTTCCTGACCTGCTAATAGCATTTTTACACTAGAATGCCGTTTAAGTAATACATTCCCACTGCTGTACCATACCAAATGCTTTACTTGGAAAAATTGAGATTCACTGTTTTTTCTTTGTCAGAAAAACAAAAACCAATTACCTGATTAAAGAGCATTATTAACTTAGTCTGACATGACATACCATTGTATTGCATTTTATCCAATTTCCCACTTATATCCAAGTCTATAATTTTTCTTTCCTTCAAGCATTGTATGGCTCTGAGATTGGCTTATAAGGGCTCTGTTTGCCCCAACCATTTTTATCCGTTCTTAAATACTATTGCTGTGTTTGGATTATCACAGCACACCTGACAGACTCACAGAGACAGGAATTGCTCTACCCATTAAATACATGTTTTTTCACCTTTCTGGGATGGAAATTATTGCACCCTCTTATTTGCACAGAGAGGCACTTTGAGTCTTCTCTTCATTTTGAATTTGGTAATTTCCTTGCCATCTCCTCCTTTTCTAACCAGTCGCCCCATGCCAAATGCAGTCTGAAATCTGGGGATCCAAACTGAAAAAGACCATTTATCTTGGCCAGTTCTTTCCACACAGCAGCCCCACTCTTCCTTTCTTTCCATCTTATAGCTAAAGCTAATGAAAATTTTACTATCCCCTATCATGTCACTCTTGTATTTTCTGAGCTCCAAAAATGTATTTTTCTTTGCCGATTTTGTCCTGCCTTTTTTTAACGATCTCGTTTTTTATTAAACATTTTTAATTCTTCATTTCACAAACAACAATTGAGAAGGCTGTACATATAAACAGATCAACTGAAACAGAAATTTATTTCACCTACTCATTTTGAATTCTATCTTCATCAGAACCACTTGCTGACAGAAATTGTAATAATTTTCAAAAACACAAATTTTTAATAATTTGCCAAGGGATTTTTTTTAAGTTGAACGAAAGAAGTTGTTATTTCCCTGCTTAAAAATAACGTATCATACAGTGATTTTTACTTTTTAATTTCAACAGAAGTTGATACCCCTCCTAGAGAAGTTCTATGTATTCCTAATCAGTATGAGAACATTGCAGACGATTACCTTGATTAGATTTTCTCTCTCTGAATATTAATAAGATTATTTAGGAACATTGCTGCCTTCCTTTTGCAGTATAATCCCCATATGAGAATTTTCTACACATAAAAATCTATATTTAGCATCTGCCTATGCTGCCTGTGAACAGATAATGGAAGGGAAGGTCATAGACAATTTTTTGGCCCTCTGGGAAAGCAGAAATTTGCAGTAAAATTAGAAAGAAAACTACCAGCCATATTCATGTCAGACAGCCCACATACAGTTACCCACAAAATCCTTCCAGAAATTTTGCAATTTATGTTCTACAATATATATATATTACACAGACTTTTGGGCACCATTGAGGAACACTGTCAACAACTGAGAGGGAGAGGAAGAACTAAGGTTTCCAGACGAAAAATAAAGATTCCTGTAAAATGTAAATTCTTAATGAAACTAAGCAAATTATTTCCCATTTAAATGCCCAAGGAAAAAAAATATACAATTAAAAGAAAAGTTCTGTACCAGTATTTTTTTTTCACAGCAGAAATGCAATCTAAAAGTCTTTCCCCCTAATTTTGCAGAAATAAAATAATCCAACATTGAATAGTCATTCTCAAACTGCTCATGGAGACTTAGAATATGCAAAAGTTCTACTGCTCCAAAAGTAATCTCATTCCTTGCTTTAATCTCTTAATAATAGTTCCCTTATCACTTTCTTGAGTATTCAAACATAATATGAAATTTGAAAGACTCTTTAAATTAGAAGATAAAATATGAACTGACTCAATTATTTTAATTCATATATATGGTACATTTACCCTTTTTTTCCATCAGTGTTTACTCTGACCTATATTCATAAATCCAAATGAAAATATTTGGCTCAGGGAAACGATGGATGCTGTAGTAATACTAGCAGACAAAGGATTAAAATTATGGTTTTATTTAAGCTTTATATCCAAAATCTGTCCCTGAGCTTGCTAGAGCTTTGAAATCATTCCTCAATACACCAGAAACCAATACATACAGACAATTTTTAAGGTATGAAAATGCTCACCTTGCTGTCTCTCTCCACTCTGCATCCTCTCCTTCACGCCAGCAGATCTCATCAAGCTCAGTGAAGAGATCATGAGGAATGTGTTCCTCATCATCATCTTCTGTTCCAAGAATAAACTGCACCCTTTGTGATGGGGTATCTGGAGAAAAATAAAAATATCAAGTCCAAAACACCAGTTTTCTTGCCCTGAGAAAACAAATGGTGTGAGATTATCCAGATGTTTTCTTTACATATCACTTACTGCCACACAAAAAAATTTACAGTTCTTCTGTAAGAACATTCAATTACACACAAACACATTCAGAATGAGACGTCCTCATTTACTGTAGTTGTCAAGTCCACTTTTCAAAAACTCCTCCAAAGATATGACCTGATGTATAGAAACAGGGTGTATTGGAAGTTGGAATGGTATCTCCCAGAAAAAAAAAAATACAGAAGCAGCACAGAAGCACAGATAAAGCTGAATAAAGCTGATAAAAGACTTTTACTCCAGTGTTAGGAAAATCTACTTTACCACTTCATAAGTCTACATCTGCAGATCCAGCTCAGGTCATAAAGATAGAATACTAAATGTGAAATCTCTGCTGTAGGAGAAATACACCAAATGAAACCTGCCTAACGTGAATATACAATTGCAGACTTGATCTTTGCTCCTTTGTTAACTCTTTCTACTTCGTTATGCTGCTTGAGATACACAACTTTTTAATCTGTCCCAGCTTCCTCATTTTATTCTTTCTGATTTCCCTTTCAATACTATTACTGATTAATTTCCTTCATAACCTTTCAGTGCAGATAGCTAAATATATTTTTGAAGACATACTATTGTTTTTTCACTCAAAAAATTCACAGAGCATCTTAAAGTACATGTATATTCAATGTTCATAGCTCAAGTGCTGTATTAAAAAAGTCCTATATCCTATTTGCTTATTTAAATGCAAATCTCAATGAACAAACTCTGATGAAGCACAGCCTCTCTAGCAATCCATGGCTGCTTTTTCTGCTAATGTATTTTAGATTTCTGAAAGGAACCAAAAGTCCTTTGTGAGAGCTGAGAGAGGCCAGGCTGCCAGTGAACTGAAAAACTGATTATCCAGCAGAACAGCTCAGTGACTCCTTGAACATTGTCTAAATGAAGTTCACTTCTATAACATATTTGTAAGACAAGCTACAGTGTTCCATCTAACAGCAAAGAGCATCACTGCACAGGGTCCTAAAGCTCTTTGAATATTGGAAAAAAATGAGATTATAGCACCCATTGAATGCTAATTAAAGAGAAAACACAGCTCTGATCCAAACAAATTAAATGGGCCACTGACACAGAAAATTAAATTCATCAATAGAGATACCTTTTTGATAGCAGTACTAAACTTGCTATAGCAAGGAAACACAAACAATACATGACAGTTTCCACCTGAGGTCTATTTGCTTTAACAGAGTGTAAAAATCTAGTGCAGTAAAGCCTATTTACTCCTTCACAAAGCAAGGAAATTAAACCCAAGGAGAAATACAGGAGAGAGGGAAGAGATGTTCAGGTACTACAAAGAACCAGAGGATGGAACTACAAGGGGTACAGCTAAAGCAATTACTTTTGGTGAATCACTGAAGAACAGCAACAAACTCTTCCACTTCACCCTTTCTTTGCTTTCTCATCTCTCTTACTGTTCAGCCCTCTTATATTTTCTTTTAAAATGTTCACTTTTTTCTTTAAATCAGAGACGAGAAAGTACATTCTAGTTAAGAAGTGTGCAACTTCTTTAAACTGATTTCCAGAAGGACAAAATTCAGTGAGATACGAATTTACCATGGATTAGTGCATATGACTACTAAGAGAACATGGAAAACAAGCTACTTTGGTAGAGAGCTGGACTGCAGCTAGCATCTGAGAATAAGCATTGCCAGGAACATCCTGTACTGTTGATAAAATCAGCCCTAGAACTGATTTACAGCAACTGCTACTGTTAAGTAATAAATGAGCAGTGTTGCACAGCAGAGCTGCAGCTCTGTGACAGTCATGATCCTCATGCAAGTACAAGCTTTCAGCGTGGGAGGAGAGCAGAGGATCAGAAACCTCTTGAAGTCAGGTGAGCAGAAACAAGGAGTCACCTCACTGCAATAATTTGCTCTTGCTGGGTCTTCTGTGTAACAAGGTACTTGACTGACAACAGTGAATCAGAATCTTTCAGAGACATCCAAGATCATGGGGACCTAGCACTGCCAAGTCCACCACCAAACCACACCCCTGAGCACCACATTTATAGAAATGACGAAATACGCACTAAATTATCTTCTTCCTTGTTAACAAAGCAGTAAAAAAAGCTGCTAGATTCTGTCCTTCTTTACTGCTGTGATTTCTATTGATATTTGAAACCTGCAAGTCACAGCTTCATTGTCAGACAACAAGCTGAAACTGAAAAAAAGTTATCATTTGCTTTATGATACAATAATTTTATTTCAAGGACCAAATTCCAAAAGACATAAACAATAGGAAAATTATAATAAAAACAACAGATCTGTTGGTTCCACTTGCAAAACCGAATTAAAAGGACTATTCATGAGCAATGCCAGATAGATTTGGCTCATATTCATAGGAGCAATAAATACCAAATATGCCATTAATATGTTATATAGAAAATTAGTAATATGTGATTCAAAATCAGTATGGAAGAATACTTCAATTGCTGATTGTCAAACTGTGATAACTTAATCCTCAGTGCAGAAGCATAATATTTGCAAACTAGGACACAATGTTTTCTGCAGTCTAGGCAAACAGAAATTGGCTTGAATATTATTTTTGTCTATCCCTACTTCAAGTAGCGCAGCCAGCATAAAAAAAATCCTTCATACTATTATTGCTATTTCTAAAAAGTAATGAGAACAATCTAGATTACACTTTAAAAAAAATAATGAGTGAGACTAATCAGTTACAGTAGTATTTCTATCACTGTAATTATTTTATATCAGAGTTATCAGAAGCAACATGAACTTGAAGTATCACAATAAGCAGCCGATGATTCTCCCAAGGAACTTGTTCATCACCAATCCAGGAAACCCTCCACGACCAGCTAGAACTGGGTAGAAAGCCTAGTGCACAACAGGAGCTGGGGTACCATCAACAAACACTCCTGCTTGGCCAATGAACAGTCTCAGTCAGGAAAACTGAAGCAGCTTTCTGATTCCTGTGGCTCCACCAGCCCCTCTGTTTTATCCCTGGGTTTCTCTGGGCTTGTGCTCATTTCATATGTGCAGCACTTGCATCCAAACTACCTCTGATACCTCGAATTCATTGCATGCATGAAAATTTCTGAGTATTACACATTTAAAAATCTGGCTAATTCCACTGCCTAATAAAAGGGTAAGACCTGGTGGTTAAGCTATTGTTGTACACACAAATCCAAAGTGGGACTCAGGGCTGCAGAAAGGGAGTGACCCTGCAGAAACCTGATATATTGATCTATTTATGACTCCTTGTACAGGCATCAACAACCCTACAACAAATGCAAGATGTGGGCACAGACACACCAAAAGAGCAGATTTGAAAGCTAGAGTGTCTAATAACCTAATTCCCAGAGGGAAACAAGGAGCTGTTCCCTGAAACAGCGCTGAGTGCAGGCAGTGGCAGTGTCCCACAACACCTTCCCACCTTGCAAAACACAAGTAGAAAGGAGCCATAACTGGCATTTTCCCCATTCAGAACATCCCCAAGTGCAACCACAACTCTGGGTCAGGGCTGCTCCCTCTTGCCTAAGGGAATAAGGGAAAATCAAGACTTGGTCTGGGGTAACAAAGGAGGATCACTCTCAGTCCCCTCACGTAAATTCAGCAAACATTCTGTTCCACTACACCAGTGAGAGTAACCCACACCTCCTCAGTGGGTGCCAGGGTTTCACTGGGACAAACCTCCCTGCCATCAGGCAGAACTGCACACAACCCACCAGGTGATGTCACAAGCAGAAATACAGCTTTCAGTACATAGAAAATGTACCTAAATTCTGTCCTCTGTTCTTGATAAACTCTAGAAAGAGTGAAAAAATGTATGTCTAGTAACACTCCCTGTATTTCTTAGCCTGCCAAACCTGCATTAAAGGGTAGAATTAGTAGCCAAATACTTCTCACTGGGGTCAGCAGATGAACAAGTAAGAGATTAATTTTTCCACATTGGAAAACATGCTAACTATTAAATTAAAACTTTCATTATAGAAATTCCCATAAAATAGTAAGCAACATATACAAGATTGATTTAATCCATGCTTTGTGCTCTTCTCATCCACATTAAAATAATAATAAATATGCAAACTATTTTTTTTATTACTTACTGTACAGGACAAAGAGCAGACTGGGAGTTAGCAAGTGTAGCACAGTTGACATTAACAACAATCCCTCACAAGCCAAGTGGAAATGGTATGGGAAATTCACAGGAGCAGAGAAAAGAAAGGATCATTTCAGACACAAACATTCATCATCCTCCTGCTTGCACTCCCCACAGAAGTGGTGGATGGGGATTCTCCCCTAACCTCCTTCCTTTGCAGATTGGGCCCTGCCTTTAGCTCAGCAATCAGTACAGGTAAGGATCATGAATTCATTAATTAGAAAACTTAGTAAAAGTTTAAACTAAATTTGCATTACTAAAGTGCACATAAAAGAGCAAACAGCCATACAGGACACTTCTGAAAGTCTCTTCACAGACCTTAGAAATCACATGTTGGGTTGGGAGAAAGTATTCCTTTGGCTATGCTCTGGCACTTTATCCCTGCAGGTACAATCTGCTTCAGGGAACTATCCCATTTTCTTGACATGAATTATTTCCATCAACCCAGGGCTATGGCAAATAATCATATCTTTTGGATCTGCCAATATGGACAACTCCCAAGCTTTAATTACCCTCTTTTTTTGCTAGATTCTTAAAACTGCAGTTATGATACATTATTTTAATCCAGATTTGCAGCAATCTGTGCCACAGCTGCCCAGAGATTCAAATTTCTGGGTTCATCAGTCCTCATACAAGCCTACAGTTAAGAGTAGGTGAATTCTCTTAACAGCCATACTCTTCACAAATAATTAAATTTACCCCACTAATAGCCCTTCAGCACTTGAGTTTAGGTACCAAATACATCCTGCTGAGTCTTTTAGATTTACTTTCTTCAGGTCCTTCTACTAACCAAAAGAAGCCCCACTTGGCAACTCACTTTTTTTGCCTGCATTGCCTCCAGAGCCTTTCCTGAGCTGTGTGTGCAGTCCTGTGTCAGGCTCACCTCTGCTTGCCTTGCCACGTCCAATATCATGAATTACAAATTTAAGCCTCTTTAAAACGAGGGATTACTAAATCCAGATTTCTTAAAAGAACAAACCAAACCTTCCACAAGCTTCAACAGTGTCTACTCATACAGGAAACACATAAGCTGTAATCAAACCCCAACTCTTACAGCTGTGTTCACTTTAACCCTCGACAAAACCTGTCCTTAGAGACACCCAGTTCAGAGCCAAAGTCTCCCTATTCCACAATTTTAAAACATCTATTAAATATCTTTAACTGATGAATACCAAAAGGCTGTTTCACTGGCTACAGGCAAACAACAAACATCAAAAAAGGCAAAGAAAACTGTCACTAAAATCCACATGCACACAAGCAAGTGCAACCCCACCAGCCAAAGGGAAATGTGCAGCAGGCTTTCAGTGCCACCACGACCCACGGCACTGATGGAGCCTCGTGGCCCTGCAGCTCACAGGGGCTGGCACCCCCTGCCCTCACAAGCAGCACCACGGAGATGCCCCAGGCTAGAAAGAGCCTTTTTTTTTACCAAATAAGTTTTAATTTGCATCAATTCCTAATTTAATTCCCAAGCAGTCGCAATACTTTACCCCACAAGGAAAACTGTGGAGAAGGGGAGCTTAAGGCAGAAATGAAACTGGGGCCTTAATTACAACAGCAGCATTTCAGCTGAGAAGAGTAAACCTCTTCAGTAAAACAAACAGCACTACTGCATTTTTAACTAGAGTGGATAAATGCACTGAATTTCTCCTTCTCTTCAAAAAGAAGAAACTTAAGAGACCAGATGGTGAAAACCTAGACCACTGAAATCACTTAGCTTACAATTTTTACTACCCAAAAACCCTCCCAATATGCAAACCATCAAATTTGTAAATTGTGCCATTACAGGCACATCATTATTGCAAAATGGAAACACCTTTTGCAACCTCATCTCATTTAGAGGCAACAGACAGAGAGTAAGAACCAGGTGTAGGGAAAACAAAACCCAAACCTGAGTAACTGATCTGTGCCCCTAAATGACAGGACTCTCTTTCATCCCACTAAGTACATATTCTGCATATTATTTGTCTAATCTGGAGTTATCTCTGAATCTGTACACTGAGAACGCTTGGGTTATTTTTTAAAAATGACAGTAGGAGACAAAAAAAAGCTAATGAGTCAATGTCAGAATGTTCTAAAAAAATCTATTCTCTGCAGAAACCTTCCCAGAAAATAGCTGTTACAGCTTTCCCAGCCAGGATTCAAAGGAATTACCAGGAAGCTTCCCCCTATTGTCATTGCACTGACTAGAGGTGTTTTCTACCCACGCTGATACACAGAAAACATCATTAAAGGAATTGGTTTTTACTGGACAGGAACCAGGTGGCACCTGTGACTCTGCATGGCAGCCACAGCGGTCCCAGCACAAGGTGCACTGCACAGCTCCTGCAGCAGTGACAGCAGAGCAAGGGCTGCACGTGATGGTGCTGCACAGAAAAAGTTATAAATTATACAATTATAGATTATGACAGAAAATAATGCTTTATCCCATGCTGGGTTAGCTGAGCACTGTGGAGCACTTCATGTCTGAATATTTCAGGTCTTTACTTGTTCCAGAATCTCTATTATTCAGTGGTTGGATCTTTTATTATATCTCCTTTCATACTTCACTGCTTCAAAACACTGCTAATTTATTCTCTTGTATCATAAAAATCCTTATGTATTTTTCTGACTTACTTCAAAGCACTGTTTTCCATCAGTTGGTCTCACAGTGCTTATTTTCTCCATCTTTTCTTCTTGCACCTGCTCATCAAAATGTTTTTTTCTTTCCCCTCCCTCCTCCTTCACAGTTCCCAAGCATACAGCCTTCTACTATTTGGCAGAAAAGCATTAAAAGGTGTCAATAGAAAGATGGAGCTAAGCATTTCTGCTTGCTCAATTAAATCAGAATGATTTATAAATTAAGGGACTAGTTTGGATCTACTCTCTCAGGTAATACTGTCCCTCATATTGAGCTACACATCAAAAAAAGGAAGTGTATTGCCTTCCTTTGAGCTTCCTTCACTTCTGGTTACTGTTAGAAATTTTGAGGCATGAAGAAGAACAGCTAAAAAGCTTATAGTTTAGTAGGTTCAGATTTAGTGTGGGAAGTATCAGTCGCTCCCTCTGTGCAAATAAAGCACAGAAAAATCATGCTTATATTCTCTCTGAAGGCAATGCTTTGCCCCAGGCAGCACAGCAAATTGTCTGAAACTCCTGTAAGGAAAAACTACAGTGAAAGAAGGAGGCGTATACTGACTACTATTAATCTCTGTATTATTTTGTCTGCCTGTTCTGTATGTGCTTAACCTCACCATCACTTTAGTATTTTCAGACATGCCTTGATTATGTAAATCCCTTTCACTCTTGTCATTTCTGCCTGGATGGACCAATGTCAAAGCTCAAAATCTGTTTCACTGGCCCAGCTTCCAGGAGTCGGACAGACAAAGGGGAAAATCCTCAAAATTTACTATTCAGATAATTATTCAGGGTGAAAAGACCAGATATTTCCAGATTTCTGCTTCTATCTTTGGATTCTTTGAATTCTTATCAACCAAGCCCTTTGAAGAATATCTTCAGCAGTCTGAATCCAGAAAAGATTTCCATGTTTCCGGCATGTAACTTGTCTGTCAAGTGACACCACTTACACACATCTTTGAACTGGTAACGATAATACCTTTAAAAATGAAATCGTGACGTTAAAAACTGCAGATCTCTACTCCTTTCTTGAGGTACACTAGAGGATGAGTGCAGTGACCATCATGCTACAAATCTACTTCAAGACTATCTTTTTTCATATTACTGCTATTTCACCTCAGAGATCCTTTGAACATAGGCGGATTTACCTAACACAGAATTATGTTGAACACTGAATTTTATTGCATGCACAAATGTCAAAGACTATTAAGAACAGATTCAGCCAGTTAATTTCTTCTTTTTTTTTTTTTTTTACTTTTGACATTAAGAAGGACACAAGCCTAGGTCTCCAGAAGTTGAAAGAACAGAGCTAAGTTCTCAGCCAAAATGTGTCACGTACTGGCACTTAAATAAAACCAGATGACTCAACAGAAGACACTGTTTCATAGTTCAAGATATCTCACTTCTTGGCTAATGTAACTTTCAATTGTTTCTTTTTAATCTGACTTTATATGTATATATGCATATTCTTTTTAAAAACTGTTTTAATAATTTATGAACTTTGTTTTTTTCCAAGAAACTGGTTTCAATATAGTATTGGGTCTTTGTACATTTGAAATCCATTCCAGACAGAACCACCACAGCCAATTTTTTCTTCGCTGTTCAGTCTTAAAAACATAACTTGTATCTGCTAAGTTTGAAAAAGTCTTGACTTTGTTTTACTCTCAGTATAATAAACCATTGTGCAAGATTTGTGAATTTCAAGCTCTACCCATCATCACTTAGAATATACTTGCTCAAAAGCTTTCCACACACATGATACAAAATTCTGATTAAAAGAAAGTCTTATAATTACTATTCTGTAACCTGAAATTGCAGTGGTACATTTCCCTAATGGTTTAAAAACACACTAGAAAATTGTTTTGTACACATGCTTCCATTATATTTTAAACACTTTCCATAGCCTTGGACATTTCATCACATGCACTTTATATTTTTAAGCAGCATGTAACATTCTCATGTTTTGAGATAAATCTTGACTAATTTATTAATGACTACCTTCTTCTCTCCTCTGTAATGTTTTCTAACTTAAAATTTTGAGAACTTCAGGAGTTTCATATCAGGTTTGTTTCCTGAAAGGTATTCTTCCCTGCTTTTCCCTCAAGTCCACAGTTAGCAGATCCATGTTACAATGGCACATTTACAGTGTCATGTTAGGAAAAAGGTAAACACAACCTAGAGCATGGTTTGAATCTGATAAAACACTGCAGCTTCAGTAACATCAACACTATTACAAAACTAATTGTAAAGGACCACAGCTCTTCTATGTCACATTTTAGGGGCAGATACTCCAGAGCCTACCCTGAGGGCAGCTGGTGCCATAAAGCATTTCCCCCTCAGTCTCTGTGAGAACACTTAGGAACAGCTCCCACAGTGCTCCTGCAGTGCTGGAAACCACTGAGCCTCCTCATGCACTGACTGCCACTGGCTGCTGCCTCTCAGCGGATTCGTTCAAAGGAACCAATCACCAGCAGGGGCTCTGGTGGATTCTCCAAAACCCTGCTGCTAATCACGTGCAAGTGATAACAGGACAGATCATGCACAATCATGCTGACATTTGTTACTTAAAGACCTACCCAAAAATAAAATTTGTCTTACCAAAAGGAGGAGATTCTCTCCCATCTTCTAATCCTGAGTCCCGCTCTCTGTCTCTCTTTCTGTGTTTATGCCCGCGGTGCCGATGGCGTCGGTGACTTTTTCTTCCACCCAGCGGCACATGAACCCCAATGAACAATGTTCGATGGCCTACAGGTAAAAAAAGGTGTCTTTGAGAAAGGAACAATGGCAACAAACCAGTAAAAATAGCAGTATAACAACAGTATAAATATCACAACAGTATAAATATCCTCACAAGGATATTTAACAGTATAAATATCCTTAATAGCATTAATGGTATCATTCTTGTGATAATTTTGAAGTTATATAATATTTATTATTCTAATGTCAATAGTCATAACAGTACTGACTTAAATCATGATGATTAAGCATCACAGATACACAACCCCTTGATACAGGAAGCAATTCCAGTACTGAAGTCCTTGTGATGCAGTGCCAGATTTTTTTTTTCCTTCAAATTTGCATCTTTGTATTTGAACTTTCATTAAAGCCAGACAGGTGTTCTGTTAAATGTCTTCCAAAACAGTAACATAAAGAGACACATGGATCTCTTTGGATTGAACATTTGGTAAAGTTGCTGTTTGCTTTGTGTGTACAAGAACTTTACCAAACTCATTCCTATTTATGAGCCAAACCTTGACAGAATTCTTGTGGGAAATTCATTGAATAAAATACAAAAAAGAAAGGGGGAAAAAAAGAAATTGAAAAAAACAATAAAACACTCTGTAAGCAAGAGCACAAAATCTCTATACCCCTTTACATGCTCACATCATAAATATATTGCTGGTATCTTAGGGTGCTGTCATTTCTTCTGTTGCATTTTTTTAAATACATAAGAAGGTACATATTGCACGCCTGCTGCCTTCAAGCCTGACAAATTTTATGTTGCTGATCAAGCCCAAAATATTTAGGTCTCTTAGCTATGTGGGCTAACAGGATCAGAGCACAGTAAAGCATTTAGAAGGGGGAGAGCACAGCAGAAATGTGCACTAACCAGAACAAATGGGAAAGGAATCGTGACTCACTACAGGCAGGTCATCTACATTTACTCAGCAGAAAGACATAGCCCAGATTACTCATCTCAAATAACATTATTTTCTCCTTGAAATGAACATAACACAGCTCATGGATATTTGCTGCTTTGCTGTAATCATTCAGCAGTGCCAATCATCCAAAAAGGTCAAGAACACTAAGCTAAGGTAGCACGTGATCTTTTAATCCCATGGATACTCCAGAGGAGGCAGAAAACAGTAACGCAGCAAGTGTCACAAAACTTCAAAGAAATTCAATACTGACAGGAATTCTCTGCAGAGGCAGAGCTAAAAATCCTGGAGAAAAGAGTCTGGACACCACACTAATTACTTCCCCAGCACTGATCCATGTAGAGGAGGCTAGAAAGCAGAGGCAACGATTTTTGAAAGACTATTCTTGTAGAGTCAGGAGATCTTCCTAATACAATGCCCACAAGTTGAAAACTATTTATTTATTTATTATATACCTCTTCCTTCTTGCTTATCACATTTAGAAAGAAATTTAAACCAAGAAATGGTTTAAAGAGAACTGCTGACTTTTATGCATTTCAAATGCATTGCAGTCAGTAGTGCATGACACAAGGAAAAATTTGTTTAAAAATACTGAAGGACGTGAGTAATGCAGTACTTTACATTTCCTTATCTCCTTCCTTGGATAGAAGAAAAAGCAAAACAACATTTTGAAAGGTTTACTGTTCCTAAGACTTGAGTAATTTCCAGAGGTGCAAATAGATTCCTTTTTTAATTTAGTTACTAAGTACATTCCCGCTGCTTTGTGATAGAAGTGGGCATGCTTATCCTAGTTTTCTCCCACATCAATGATCAGATTGTACCTGCATCAGGAAATGCTGATTGAGACTCACATTTCAATTAATTTCCAGGGCTGAAAGCAGTACTTGAGTCCAGACTGTTCTTTATTCAGTACACTGAGATACAGTGCCAGAACATTCGTGTGTGTGTGTGTGTGTGTGTCTGAATGCTACAACAATTTCCCTTATACAGACAAAATCAGTTCACTGGAAAAAAAACCAGGAACCTGGAAACTTAAATAGACATCAGGAAAAAGCAAAGTGGATTTTACTCTTTCTGTGTGAACCTACTGAGACCAGCAGAGTGCTACCTAGGCATAATTTCAATAAACACATGGAGAAAGGTAGGTGCTTGTTACAAGGTTCAAACAAATAAGAGGAAAAGAAACTTACAGGGGAAAAGCAATAGTTCTCTACAGAAAAATCATAGAGCAAAAAGCAAAAAATCTGAGCGTTAAGTAGTTCTGGTTTATTAAAAGATCACAACTGTGGAGCAAAAAGAGACCATCTGGGAACAAAAGAGTAATGAATTCTGAATTGCTGACAAAATGACAATGAATGATAGAAGCAGCAAAAAAAAAAGAAAGAGGAAATACAAAAGAAATCCAATTACTGCATTACCTTACTTCAAGTAACCTTTTCATGGTAAGTATTATGAGCTAGAATGTAATGTACGTTTTTCTGTACAAATTGTCCAAGGCATTATTAAACAAGAGTTTCCAGAAAGCTCTCTAAATTTGCCAAGACTGAAGGTGAAACATGGACAGAGCAGGGCAGATCTCAGGAAAACCTGACTAAAATTTCTAACAAGAAAGGGCCTCTACAACTGAGTGAACTCAGGATCAACCAGGATATCCACTATCCAGGGTATCCTTATAGATTACAACTGATCATATATGGGCATTTCTTTCATTTATCTTTACAAACTTTTTTGTGTCTTTTATTACTTACTTCATCAGGATGCCAACTTAAAATGACTGAATATTGCTCAAATATTGGAAAATAATTCTGCTCTGCCATACATTTTCACAGGACCTAGCTCAATTAGATTATAATTTCTCATTCTTTTGGCAAGGCTACAAAGACACTATAGTGTGGGAAATAGTAACAACTGCAGGTTACATCAGGGTACAAACCATTGACATCAGGTACAACTTAAGAGCCATTCTCACACAGACCTGACATATGGTTTAAGAGGTGAACATAACACATTGCTCTCCCTACCAAATGGGTATGTTTTTTGTGTTAAAATTGGTTTTGGAAGAATGGGAAGTGTTGGGGCAAAAAAGCCTGTACTCTTAGCATTCCTTTAAAAATATCTTACTTCTACTAAATTAAGGGAAATATTTACAAATCCTTTCTCTCCATCTCCATTTCCCCTTGAAATGTCATATCACTAAAGAATTGTAATGGGATTTCCAGAAGTACCTAAGTTAAGTCATCAAGCACCATCTATTATAATGGGTTATGTGTTTCCAGAGCTCTAGAAATCCCACTACATTTCTTTTTCTTTCCATTTATTTAAGGCATAAGATAGGTAGCTAGGATAAGCTTCTGGTTTTAAAGACACAGAATGCCAGGTTCTGAAAACCATTTCTAGATGTTACTTCAGTCATTCTAAAGGGATACGCAGAAAATTCTTCCTATTCTGAGCCTGGGTTTTTAGATTATTAATTTGCTATTGGGTTCTTAAAAAATTTTAAGAAAGGAATAATTTCTCCTTTCTCCTTTCAGCAACCTCAAACAACACTTCTACTTAGATTTTATTCTAAGAAATGCAGAGACGTATTCATATTAATAATATATGTTTCATATCTGTCTTTTCTAGGGCAATGATTTCATACCTCCACCAACTGAAGACACTTACAGCACAATATATTTTTGCTTCAAAAGTTATGGGGAGATTCTGATTTTTCCACATGTTTGTACGTATTTTCATCTGCCACAAAGCTAATAATAATTAATAGGACTCCTCTTAAATATTTTATACTATCATTTGTGTTTAATGTAATCCCATAAAAATTAAAAAATAATTATTCACAACAAGGATTATTATTTCTCAATCCTTAAATACTTTAAGCCAAGGAGTGATTTATTGTTTTGAAGGTAAACCACAAGCTTCTTATGCTATAAATTTGAACTAACTTTATATTCTGGGTTTTTTTTCCCCAGATATATGCAATTTGATTCAGAATAGTCTTTTATTAAAAATAATCTTTTTACAATTTACCAGTGGATGTATAGCTCTGTATAAACGTCATTGCCGAGCAGACCAATTCAGTGCATTGCATTTCTTTAATAAGCTTTCACACTGTAAATAATCTTTATGTATTATTATATTTTCTCAGTGGGTCTGTTTTATAAAATTACTTGGTCCTAAATCTTAATACTGAAAAAAAATGCAAGTGTTCATGCTTCGCTTTCCTAGCAGCCCATCTGGAATAAATCAACACCTGAGTTCAGAGGGTGTTTTTGCAAGGACAAAATCATAGTCTTTCTATGATAAAACACTACTGATGCTAATGTAAGGTTAATAGAAAAACTCAGGAAGATCAGATAAATCCTATGGCTAACTGATATCTAAACCAATTCTGAGTTTTTAAATTGTGACATAAATTAAACACAGCATAAACCATGGAGAAGATCCTCTCTCAGCATGGAAATTCTTTCAGGTCTCCATATTACACCAGGAATGTGGAACTCAATGAGATACTTTAGAGCTTCTTAGTGAGCCAGCCCAGTTGGTGGCAACTGTGTAAAATAATGACTGTCCTGGATCCAAACATCCATGGGCACCAGCTGCTCAGGGTCCGTGTGCTTGCGCTGCCTTCCACCTGGGATTATCTGAATCTGCCCGAGGCACCTGCTGACACCAAGGCTTTCAGATCCCTGCTCACAGGCATGGAGGGAAGGGGCAGACAAGGGAACAGATGGGTCTCGAAACACCTCCAGAAAGAGCAAAGGCAGGCTCTGTGACCTGCTGAGGAAACACACTGCAAAGGCAAGGTGCCTTGAGAAAGAACACTTTGCCAGCAGCTCAAGCCAAGCCTCAGCTGAGTGCTGACCTCAGCAGGACCAGTTTCCCTCCTCTGGAAAACACTCAGTGCTTGAAGCCTCCCCTGTGCACTGACAGCTAGAGCTGAACCAAATGCAATGTTTCATCCTCTCAAAAATGAATGGTGAGGTAGAGACAGAAAACCATCAGCCCATGTAGGGTTAAAAAAATTGCCTTTTTCCTTACAGGAAAGAAAGTGATGATGGTGAATTGTGTAGGAGTAGAAGTACGTGA